GTGGCCAGCGTTTCCTGCGCGCGCAGGGCCCGCTGCTCAGATCGTCATCCGTTGGGGGGGGCCAGGCAATGACAGTGGGGGCGACGTGCAATTTGAAAAAGCACACAGGCCACCCCTTCTCTGAGCTTTATTTTCGTCTTTGCTCCCATTCCCCCCCCCCCGCCACTGTCACATGGGCCACCAGTGGGCACCGCCCCTGGCAATGCAGCGATTCCTTATCCGGGCAGGCGGTGCTTGGGTCAGTTGAAGCAGTTGTTGTAAACATCAAAACTTGAAGTTGTTTTCACGTAAAGCAAAAACTGTGTTTGCATACACCAAGGGAAAAGCTGCTGGTAGAAATTGTACAATTTGCTCCTGGGCTGTAATTGGAAGTACTGTTTTTAGGGAAACAGGATGGATCAATGTGATTTTTCTCTCTATGTAAAGTTGTTATTGAAGTAACAACTTATCTTCCTTTGCGGTCCTACAGTAATAAGTAAAACATTTACGGCTTAGAATAAAATGAGAGCATCTCATTTCCTGTGGTAGCGGGCACGTTCGTATTCTTTTAAAGCCTTGGGCTAAGTGGCATCAAACTTTGTTTTTTTCCATTTTATAATCCAGAAGCTGCTAGTTTCTTTCTGTCAAAGAAAACCTGCATTTCAGTACTGAGCACATCTTTGGGACCCTTTTCGATATGACTACGTCTTAGAGCACCTCTTTTAAATTGTGTCTAACGTCAGTTCTCCCTGGAAGACAGTGTGGTGTAGTGGAAAGAACAGGGGCTTGGAACTGATGAACAGTAGTTGTTTTGTGTGTGGTGTGGGGAGGTTTAGTTCACATTCAGTTTCCTGACCCATCAGCAGCCTGGGATTTCTCCGATGAGCAGACCCAGCCCCTGGAACTTTCCTCGTGGCTCCTCCCTTTTCTGTTGTGAGGGCACTAGTTCCATTACCCTGTCCCCAAGTGCACGCGTGCGCCCTTGGTCGCCTTGCTTGAGTAAGACTGCCAAAGCTGTTGTTTTTATCCTTTCCTCTACTCACCACCGTGATTCTTCCTCTTGCCTCTGGGGGTCATCCCGCCGATCTCTCGGTTCAAGAAGGCCGGATACCCACACACGACAGCCTTCAGCCCATTCTACAGGGAGCCAGCCTCCCTATTCAGACATTCGCCACTTAGTTATCATGCAGCTGTTGACTGAGTGCCTTCTCTCCACAAGGGCCTGTGCTCTGGGAGAGAGGATGGTGACTTATCCATGACTGGACACCGTTACGGTCCAGGGAGAAAGCCAAGACCCTTAGTTTTGTGTGTGGCGGGGTAAGGGTCCGGGCGGCGTGTGCTTGGCCTTTTGTTCCTGAAAGTGGAGGGGATGAAACGATCAAAGCCTTGGAGGGCACAGCACTGTGTCTTTTGGGAACAGCAGAACGTGCAGTTTGTCGAGAGTGGAGGCAGCGCCAAGGGGACGATGGGAGGCAGGAGAGTGGTGCGTAGCCTCCTCCTCCGCGGTCCCGCGTTTTCCTCCGGCTTTCCGATGAGGTGCAGTCTCGGCTTCCTTGAGATTCAGTTGGAGTTTCCCGTCAACTGTGCCAACACCCAGCGTCTCTCCTCCTGCTGCCCCTGCTCCTTGCCCCTCCAGTGTCATCTTACCCACCCTCCTCCCTCCCGTCACCGTCTGTGTCTCCAGTGAAGATGACTGACTGCAGTGCCAGCTGTGTCTGTGTGCGGCTGTGCCCTGGACACCGCCACCTGAAGTCTCCTCACTGCCTCACACCCACAGAGCCAGGGCTAAATTCGCTTCCTTCCTCCTGAGCCTGCCCCTCCCCCTGCCTGTAGTCTCTGCGAGGAGGGCCACCTGCCGCCACGCGGCCCAGGGCAGAAATGTGGGTGCTGTCTGCGACCCTGCCCTTTCCTTTCGTTCCCGCAAGCCAGCCCTCCAGTTGACCTCCTGAGTATCTGCTGAGCCTGCCCTCATCCCTCTGTCCCCGCTGCTGCCGGGACCTGGTTCCAGTCATCGTCATGGTCGTCACCGCTGCCGTCGCTGACGGGCAGTTGCTGAAGAACCTGTCTGGTCTCCCTAGGTTCCGTCTTCTTTGACCAGTGCCTCCTTCACCCTGTGACCGGAATGATCCTCCTAAAATGTAAAGGCGGTTATATCAGTTCTCGTCTTTAAAACCTTTCAATGCCCGTTAGGATAAAATCCAGAATTTTAAAATATCTTAAAAGGCCCTTGGTGACCCGCCTGTGCCTAACTTCTCCGACCTCCCCTTCTGTGGCCGTCCCGTGGCCTGCCACGCCCAGCCGTCCCGAACTGCCTTCTGGCTCCCGTGGCGGTGGCGTTTGAGCGCCCGCAGGCTGTCCACACCTGGACCGGGGGTTGTACGTGTCCGGACCGGGGTTCGAACTTGCACCCCAGGCGTGGGCCCTGACCGGTAATCGAACCCGCGGCCTTTTGGTCATGCGACGGTGTTTAACCAACAGCCACACCAGCCAGCGAGGAACTTGTCTTTTGAGATAGTTTGCAGAGCTTGCAATAGACCATCAGAATACCTCAGTGGGAGAACTCTTTTTCTTTGAGAATGTTTGATTTTTAGAAATAGCTTGGTTCACAGAGTAAGACCAAGATGATTAACACCATTTTTGATATTTAATTAAAGTAGGATTATTGTGAGATTTTCCTTTGTAGTATCCAAAATGATACACATTCCAGCTTTCTCACAGGTACTACTGACAGCATATTCCATGTGACACATTAAAATTCAGGAAGCTGACTATCAAAAAATCTTGATTTCTGAATAGCACTCTGATAAAATCAAGCAGTATTAATAAGTTCAAGAGAGACATCTTAAAGAATATTCTTAGTCACAAAATAACCATCACAGTTTCGCTTCTGGCATAAAAGGATCTAAGAAAAAAATGACCCAAGGTGCCACCCCCTGTTCCTGTGCACCTTTGGGGCTCTTCCTCCTCAGCCGGGGCCACGGGAGTGCGTGCGGCTGAAGTACATCGAGGGAGGCGGTCCTGCTGTGATGCGGGGGCGGGGGGTGGGTGCCTGGCACCTGCAGGCCTGTGCCCGGGTGAAGGGAGGAGCCGGCCGGGGAGCGGCCGGGATGGAGGGACAGGCACTGAGCTGTGTTACCGAGGCGTGAGGGCGTGCACAGTGTAGTCCCCTGGATGTGTTCGGAGGCAGGAGATTGGAGGACCAGGTTAATCCCTGAACTAGAGAAAACATTCAGGCAAGTGGGTGGGGAAGCAGCCGGGCAAGGCCGGACGCCGTGAACCGCAGGGTCGTGGGGAAGCCGCATCGGGGGTCCCAGTCCGTGGGGAGCGGTCACAGTGCTCAGGTCACCGCATGGAGCCTGGCTGTGGTCTGCGGCCCGGCCGCTGTGGAGGATTCGGTGTTGCACCTCGTCATTGTGCAGGAAGCTGTGCCTGTGAGGAATTAAGGCAACTGTAAAGGGTTGTGGACATGTTCATTACTTTAAAATATTTTACTAATTTGTACCCTGAACTTGCCTCGTCTTGAGTGTGTGTGTGTGTGTGTGTGTTCGTGTGTTTGTTGATGCTTGATGACGGGGGAGGGATGCGTGCCTATTTGTGAATCTCCGGTGAGGGAGGAGACAGGAGTGAGCTTGTACGGCTAACCCCCTTTTGCCACAGGGTGGTCCTGGGACCGTGTCACTCAGGTGCGTGGGGACTGGGCCTGGCAGGAAGGACACCTTGTGAGCCAGACTTCGCGAGGGCCTGGTGCCCGTAAAGTCTCTCTCAGAGCACAGCACGCACTTCAGAGGAGCTGGTGTCATTGCGGCTTTGCTGGCACGTTGGTCTCAGGGTGCGGCGGGGCCGCACTGGCACGCGCCCCTGGGGAGGGTCGGACGGAGGCCGCTGCGCCGTGAGCGTGAAGGCTGCTCCCCGGCCTGGCCGTGAAGGAAAGTCGTTGCGCAGCCTTCAACAGCACCTGTGGCAAAAAGCCAACGGTTGTTTGTCTTAATTTATTTTAGTTCAACCTTAAATATCAAAATTTGACTTGAATTACTATAAAAATGCAAAATTCAAGGACCACAACGTTATGACAAAGGTCTAGAAAGAGAATTTAAGTGAAAAGCCCGTCTCTCCTTTTTATTCTTTTCCATAAATTATGTATTGGTCATCCTTTCAGGGTACTGGTTTCCTTAACTTTAACCTGGTTAACAGCAGTTATCTTGGCAGTGCCAGCAGCATGCATCACGAGGAGAAGGTTCTAGAGCTCTGTGGGCAGTCAGCCATTGAAAGTGCTCTTATGGCATACGTGATGGACACATGTTAGCGACCTTTATGTTAAATGGATGAACATACTTTGATAGAATGTTTTTATTTTTGCAAGGCAAAATTTTGCCTCATGCCACAGCTTTCCCTGTAGGACGAACTTGGGTGGAACACAGCACAAACGCATTGTCTGACAGGTCTGCGGGGCTGGAGTCCGGCACGGGTCTCGCTGGGCTCAAGTCCAGGTCTCAGGAAGGACCGCGCTCCTGGAGGTTGTCGGGAAGAGCCCCTGTCCTTGCCCTTCCAGCTTCTAGGAGGCCTGGCGTCCCTAACCTCCACCTTCAAAGCCTGCGGGTGCCTCTCCGACCAGCAGTTCTTCCGTGATCCGGTTCGGCCCTCCCCACAGCCGGGAGAGTCTCTGTGCTTCTGAGGGCCCTTGTGGTTAAATTCGGCCACCTCCACAGCCCCTCAGGATCTGTCCGCCACCGGGGGCCGCACTCAATCCCACCTGTGGGGCCGCAGGCTCTCGGGCTCTGGGATCCGGATGGGGACACGTCAGGGGGCGTTATTCTGCCTGCCATTAAAGGGAAATCATTAACACAGTATTTCATTCAGAGAAAGTATTTTTCAAACATGCTCATAATTTGCTATAGGTCTTCAAGAAACTTTCACTCGGGTATTTCATAGGGAAGAGTTGTATGTGTTTAAAAATCATTTTATTTGGATTTTCACCTGCTTATTAAAGCTAACGTTCTGTTCTCTTTTGTTTGCTTTGATAGTGATAACCTACTAAGGAGAGCAGCCTGTCAAGAAGCTCAGGTAATGCCGTTCGCTGTGAGACAATCAAAACTGCCTTATCTCCACCGTGCAGGAAGCTCGGCTGTTCCAGGCGCTTGCACGGTGCCTTCCCGCCCGGGGTTTGGGTGTTTCCCCTGCCGTCAGGGGACCAGTCGGGCTGAGAGCCAACTCAGTGCAACCGGAGGAAGTTAGCCATCTGGTGCCGAGCAGCTCTCACGCCCCCTCCTTGGACTTGTTTACTTCGGGATTAGTCCTAGCGAGCGATGTGGGTTGGAGCTCTGGGAACGCGTTCCCATCCGCAGTTGTTCTTGAGGATGAGGCTAAACCCTGAATCATCCCTGATCCGAAGAACCCCCTGGGATATCAGTTCAGAACAGGTGTTACCTCTCAAAGTCAAATCTTACGACTCTTGGTTCACATTTTTAAAGCCTGTGTCTTTGAGCACAGCTGACTCATACCATGGGCATTGTTGTCCGGCCCCATGATTGTGCCCTTAAATATTCATGCGTCTCGCTGTATTAGTTACGGTGGAATTGTGAAGCCTCTCAAGTTCAAGACCACATTTTTGTTCTCTCCCCTCCAGACTTGTTCATTATACCTTGCAAGTGAATTTCCGTGACTGAGTTGCTTCCTTGTTAAATGTCATTTAAGTTTATTATGGCAGAAATACCCAAAAAAGAAACAGGAAATGAAAAAGGTATGATGTATATAGTAGGAGATGTGGGTAGCAAACCCACTGTTTGTTCCTGAAATGTTTTCATGGGTGACAATGACAAGAGGTAGTATTAGTAAATTCTTCTCTTTTGTGATTGCCTAACCATTCTAAATCTGTTTTCAGAATTTGATGACTTGTTTGCCTTTTTTATCTCATATGGCTCTAAATTGTTTTGGAAATGAACCCAAACTTTATATTAAACTCAAGGTGATCCCTACCACAAGTTAATTTTCCATTAGCAACTAGGAGATTTTTTTGGGAGGGGAAGTCTTTCTCTCTTCAAGGAAGACTGGTCAGAGGGTCCTCCCTTCCTTGGATAGATGCCTCCGCCTCTGTTTGGAATCTCGTCCCCTCTTCTTGAGAGACCACGTTCCTTCAGTTATTTGCACCTTTTTGTGTATTTACCTCTTCCACTGTTCTAGTTCTCCTCGTCCCAACACACATTTTGCCCCTGTCTGATAAAAGTGGGTTCATTGTTAGAGCCTCCTCTAGGTACTTTTCCTGTTTATGTCCTTCTCGTAAGTCTAAATTTTTAAAAGAATATGGTTTTTTAAAATTTCATGTAAACTTAGCTCACTATAGCCTTACATAAACTCCTTAACCTGCTGTAAATATGAAACTTGAGTTGCAAGTATTGTAGAGACTAGAAACCAGGGAAAGGAGTAATAATCTGGAACTGTAGATCTGGAACCAGGCAGGCATGAGAACTTGGTTAATTATATCATTTCTGGCCACATACCAGAAAGAGTATGGATCGAACAAGAACAAATTACAATATTTAGAGATTTGGCAGCAAGATGTTATGGTCTAATTCAGTAACAGTAAAAACAGAGTAGAAATTATAATGTACTGGCTTTTTTTTTTTTTAAATAACAAAGAAACAGTATGTCTTTCTGAAGTATTCAGAAAAAGTTTATTTCTTAAATTTAATCTTTATTGTATTTTTTTCCCATTACCATTTAGTCTCCTTATACCCTCTCCGCTCAGCAGTCACCACACTGTTGTCCATGTCCGTGAGTCCTTTTGCCTTTTCTGCTCCATCCCTCCACCCCCGGCCCCTCCACCCCCACCCCCCGCACCCCCAGCTGTCACCTGCTCTCCGTCCGTGTTTTGCTGTTAGTTCAATGTGTTCTTTAGGTTCCACACATGCATGAAATCGTAAGGCACTTGGCTTTCTCTGACTGGCTTATTTCACTCATCACAGTGCTTTCCAGGCCCATCCCTGCTGTTGCAAAGGGAAAGTTTATTTTTTTTAAAGCAAGAAATAGACAATGGTGAGAAAGGATCTCCAGCAGGTTATCAGGCAGGAGGTTGATTTAGAGTCAGCTATTTAATAAAAATCTTGTTAAGAACTTCATTTTCCTGGAGTTACTTTGTGCTTCTACGCCTGAACCCGGCCTTCCTGGCCCAGACCTGCATGCACCCTGGCGTCCAAGGCGCGGAGTCCTGCGCTTGGTGCGGCTTTCCCGCTCTCGCCCTTTCTGTGGGTCCTGTGCGGTCTGGCGGGACAGCAGCAGCGCCCGTTAGTCCCCACCCCTAGACCCCGCGCTTCTGGTTCCGCCTCGTCCCTTACCTGTCGTTAGAGCTGATGAAGTAGGAGCAGTTTGGATTTTGAAATCAGATCGATGTAAATTCTAGGCTGTAATTTATTAACAGTGTGACTTTGACTCAATCTTTCTGAATCCTGTTTTTCCCATTTATAAAATGAGACTATTTAAGACCTCATAGGTTTCTCAGAACTAAGAATAATGTGTGCGAAAGTGGCAAATATGAGGCGCTTAGTAAACAATTACATTTCTTTTCCTGTCACCATTGATGCTATTTATTTATCATTCAAGGGAGCAAAGAAGAGAAGGCAGGTTGATTGTTAGTTTAGATGTATATAAAGATATGAAGATTAATTGGTAACACAAAGATTCTTCATAAGTAAGCTTTAGTAATAAGTTCAAATAGAAAAAGATCAGTCTGAAAACTCAAAACAAGTGGATTAAAATTCCCTTCTGGCAGACTAGCATCTTACTTGTGTGTTTATAATAGACCTGGCCATAGCTTATGTAGAAAATAAGTCATCTCTAGTGGGTAAAGCAGGGTTTGTTTATTATTAAATAATGTTACACTTGTGTTTTGGTGCTGATAGTGTTTGTGTTAACGTGAAATCATGAAAGGACATTATTTTTTCTCCTAGAGTAACTATTATACCTTCTGAAGTAAATTCTTTTGGAATGAAAGAATATATATGATCTCTAACTGAATAAAAGGACATTTACTTAAAACTTTTCTTTTTTCCTTTTTAGGTGTTTGGCAATCAACTCGTTCCTCCCAATGCACAAGTGAAGAGGGCAACCGTCTTCCTCAACCCTGCAGCTTGCAAAGGGTAGGTGATTTGCTAAGTATGCTGTTGGTGATTTGTTGCATTTCTATTTTTATAAAGAGGGAAAAATCACAGGCTATCAGGCAGCTAGTTGGATTGTTTGGAGTTAGAAGACTAGGTTCTTGAAAACAAGACTATGTTGTTGGAAATGGCAGCGTTTCATCATTTTTCATGTCTGAGTAGTAGTCCATTGTATACATGCACCACACTTTCTTTATTTAATCATCTATCAAAGGACACTTAGGTCGTGTCTGTGTCTTGGCTCTTGTGAATAACGCTGCAAAGAGCGCTGCAAAGAATAGGGGGTACCTATTCTTTATGAATAAATGCTTTCAAATTCTTCAGGTAGATACCTAGAAGAGGGATTGCTGGGTCATACGGTAGCTCTGTTTTCTATTTTGTTTGAGGAACCTCCATACTGTGTTCCATGGTGATTGTCCACATTTACATTCCCACCAGCAGTAAATGAGGGTTCTTTTTCGCCTACAACCTCTCCAACATTTGTTATTTCTTGTCATACTGGTAATAGTAACTCTTCTAACAGGTGTGAGCTGGTATCTCATTGTGATTTTGATTTACATTTCGTTCATAGCTAGTAAAGTGGAGCATTTTTTGAAATGGCTCTGTGAGCCATCTGTATGTCGTCTTGGGGAAAGTGTTTAGGTCCTCTGCCCTTTTTTTAATTGTTTGTTTGTTGCTAAGTAATATGAATTTTTAAAATATTTTTTGTCTGATTTTTAAATTTATTTTTTCAAATACATTTGTCTCTGCCTTCCCCCCACTGCTTTCCCCTCTTCCTCCTCCCTCCTCTCCCTCCCTCAGTCCTTCCCCACTTTGGCTTTGTCCATGAGTCCTTGCTATATGTTCCTTGACTTGCCCCTTCCCTTCCTTCCCCCCCCCCACCAACCCCTCCCTCCTTCCCTCTTATCTCTGTTGGTTTCTTTTTCCTTTCAGTGTTGCTGGTCTTATTTTCCTTGCATCTTTGTTTTGTTGGTTAGGTTCCGCTTATAGGTGAGAACATATGGTATTTGTCTTTTGCCCCCTGGCTTATTTCGCTTAGCATAATGCTCTCTAGTTTCATCCATGCTGTCGCGAAGTGTAGTAGTTTTTTTTTCTTTCTGCTGAGTAGTATTCCGTTGTGTAAATGTACCATAATTTTTTGATCCAGTCATCTACTGATGGGCGTTTAGTTGCTTCCAACACTTGGGTATAGTAGATTGTGCTGCTATGGTTCTTTTGAACTGGTGTTTTGGGATTCTTAGGGTATAGTCCCAGCAGAGGAATCACTGGATCAAAAGGCAGTTCCATTTTCAGCTTTTTGAGGAAATTCCACACTGCTTTCCACAATGGCTGCGCCAGTCTGCATTCCCACCAGCAGTGTACTAGGGTTCCCTTTTCTCCACAGCCTTGCCAGCACCTGTTGTTTGTTGATCTGTTTATGATGGCCATTCTGACTGGTGTTAGGTGGTACCTCATGGTGGTTTTGATCTGCATTTCTCTGATGGCTAGTGATGCCAAGCATCCTTTCAACTGTCTCTGGGCCCTCTGTATCTCCTCCTTGGAAAAGCGTTTGCCCAGGTCCCTTTCCCATTTTTTTGATTGGATCATTTGTCTTCTTGGAGTGGAGTCATGTGAGTTCTTTATATATTTTGGAGATCAAACCTCTATCATTAGCTGATGTATTATTAGCGAATATATTTTCCCATATGGTTGGCTCCCTTTTCATTTTGCTGATGTTTTCTTTAGCCGTGCAGAAGCTTCTTATTTTGATGAGGTCCCACTTGTTTATTCTTTCCTTTGTGTTCCTTGCTTTAGAAGACATATCGGTGAAAAAATTGCTGCGTGGGATATATGAGAGTTTCCTGCCAATGTTCTCCTTTAGAACTTTTCTGGTGTTGCGACTTATATTTAAGTCTTTTATCCATCTTGAGTTTATTTTTGTGTATGGTGTCAGCCGATGATCAAATTTCCATTTTTTGCATGTAGCTGTCCAGCTCTCCCAACAGCATTTGTTGAAGAGGCTATTATTATTCCACTTTATGTTTCTGCCCTCTTTGTCAAATATTAGTTGCCCATATAGACCTGGGCTTATTTCTGGGCTTTCTGTTCTGTTCCACTGGTCTTTGGGTCTGTTCTTGTATTTTTGCTATTAACATTAGGCTCTTATCAGAGGTGTCATTTGTGTTTATCTTCTACCTTTCAGTGGATTGCTTTTTTGTTTCGTTCATGGTTTCTTTTGCTGTCCCAAAACTTAGTTTGATGTAGTCCTATCTACTTGTTTTTGTTTTTACTTCCCCTGTCTTTGGGGTCAAGTTCACAAAAACCCCTCTGAGCCCAAGGTCCGTACGTTTAGCACCTATGTTTTCTTCTATGTATTTTACTGTTTCAGATATTTTAAATCCATTTTGAGTTAGTTTTTGTGTATGGTATTCAATAACAGCCTAGTTTTATTGTTTTGCATGTGGCTTTCCAATTTTCCTAACACCATTTATTGAACAGGCTTTCCTTTCTCCATTATATGTTTTTGGCTCCTTTGTTGAAAATTAGTTGCCCATATGTGTGGATTTGTTTCTGGGGTCTCCATTCTGTTCCATTGGACTGTGTGTCTGTTTTTCTGCCCGTACCACACTGTTTTGATTATTGTAGCTTTGTAGTACAGTTTTATACCAGGGAGCCTGATACTTTCCACTTTTTCTTTCTCAAGATTTCTTTGGCTCTTTGGGTTTTTTTTATGTTTCCACATAAATTTTTTGATGAGTTCTAATTTGGAGAAGAATGCTATTGGTTTTTTAATAGGGATTGTATTGAATCTGTATATTGCATTAGGTAGGAAGGACATTTTAACAATATTAACCCTTCTAATCCATAAGGAGGGTATATCCTTCCATTTATTTGTATCTTGTTCAATTTTCTTCTCCAGTGTCTTACAGTTTTTAGAGTACAGGTCTTTCACTTCTTTGGTTAAATTTATTCCTAGGTATTTTATACTATTTGATGCAACTGTAAATGGGATTTTATTATTTTTTTCCTTCTGATCATTCATTATTGGTGTGCAGAGATACAATAGATTTCTCCATATTGATTCCGTATCCTACAGTTTTCCTGAAGCCATTTATTAGTTAAGTTTTCAGTTTTTCTATGAGTGTATATGGTATCATGCCATCAGCAAGGGGTGAGAGGTTTACTTTTTTCTCTCCACTTTGGACGCCTTTTCTTTCTTTGACTGGCCCGGTTGCCCTGGTGAGGACGCCAGTGCTGTGCTGGGCAGAAGTGGTGATGGCGGCCGTCCTTGTCTTGTTCCTGACCTTGGAGGAAAGGCTTTCGGCTTCTGAAATGTTTCCCATGTAATTTCTTGGGACGAAGCGTGGCTTCACAGATATGAGGACAGGTCAGGCCTTATTTCTTTCTAATTCAACAGTTGAAGATAGTTGCGTAAAGACCGCTTAAATTGGCTCCATTACTCTGCCTAATTGAATCCTATTTGCATGGCTTTGTTAAAGCCGCTTCCTTCCCTTACAAACACACCAGTCATAATGCCTATTGATCATTCTTGTTTCATATGATTACTGCATAATACCAGCTATTGAACCTGCCACAACCCAGTCACATTCCCCGAGATGGCCGGTGGTGGTCAGTGGCCGAAGGTGGCACAGAGCACAGCGGGCCTCCGTTTGCAGGGTCAGGTCTGTGGACTCCTTTCCACTCTGTGATATTGTGGGAGCTACATAACCTAAATGCCTTGTCTACTCATTTGTAAAATGGGAGAAGTCACAGCCTGTAACCTTACAAAACTACCTGCATGATAGGTGCCTTTGGGACTCAGTGAGAGAATCCCTTGAAAGAGTTTGGCATGGTTCCGTTTCATAGTAAGTGTGGGGAAAAAGAAGCGTAAGCTGCTGTTATTGTTACTATTTGCCTGTAGGCCAGGTTCACAACACTCCCCAGTTAGCTCCCTGCCCCTTCCAAACCTTTCCTGCCGCCTCCTTGAACTGTTCTAGGTCCCATTCCTTTGGAAAACTAGTGATTTAGCAACTTGTTAACTCTGATGCAGAAAAAGAGATGGCAGTTTGGGCTGTAATGAGTTATTTTGAATTTCCGCTTCTAAGAGATACATTTTTTAAGACTTCAGGGTTTGTTGGTTTTTTTTGGTTTGTTTACATGCTTACATGTGTAAATGTATTTGCATTTTTAAAACTATATTCTTGCTTGAAAGGGTACTATCTTTATCTAAGGGCGAGGCTAAGGAAAGGCATTTCATAAAGTCACCGTCCCCTTGAGCCAGGAGGGTCCCTGCCCAGTTCTAGGGAGCGGCCACTTGGAAACTCTCTGGAATCGTTCTTTGAGGCTTTCACTAAGCGCACTATTTTTCTCATCTTGACTCTGCCCTGACACATAATTTATAATTTATTGTGTAGCTATAGCATTATGTAGTATTGGTTTAAAACTACATTAGAGTGTTAAGGAGTAACATGACTGTGTTTAGCATTAATAAATAATATATTAAGGAGTAATTATTTTTGTGTGTGTATGTGAACCTGGAAATTGCTACAAGTATGTATAGTTTTTATTTCCAGTGCTATCTTACCCTTGATTGTGTAATAAATAATGCATTTCTTACTGGTAACACCCGGTTTTTAATCTTTTATATGGAACATTAGAAGGGAAAAAAAACCCTCGCTTTTAGAAATTTTCTGTACCAGTGGCATCACATAAAGGCACGAAGAAAGGCCCAAATGTTCACATCTCATTTCTTAAGCTAACTTAAAGGAGCTTACAGATTTTTGTAAGTGATTAATGTAGCCGGTTGAGTCGTCTTCAGTTTCGCTTCTCAGAGGTAGATCCAAGCCACTTCCAATGGACCCTTCCTACCAACCCAGCGATGAAAGCGTGCGGGGAGGAGAGAGTGCAGTGTCAGGAGGTCGGGGCGAGCCCCGGACACGGTGAGCTGGCGGGGGAGGAACTTCCATTCGTTTTTCACGTTTGTTCTATTAAGCACTCAGAGCAGAGGAGAAGGTAGGGGATGTTTGTTTAATTTGCTTATTATCTGCTCAGTTAGGCGCTCAGCTTGAGAGGGCCTCTTGAATGGTTCTTGTGAACATTTATCCAAGCTTCTCAGTTTCCGTTTTAGTTCGTAAGAAATGTTTTGTATTTTGTCTGCCATTGGTGGTGGTTCTTCTCAGCGGAGAGAATGTGGAGTCTAGTCTGCCCATGGTCCTCATTGGCTAAATTTGCATCTTTCTAGCATAAAACATTCTCAAGAAAATCGAAGCATGCTTCAGTGGTTAAAAAACACTTTTTGAAAGAGAACTGAGTAAATGTGGATATAACAGTTAGATGTTTGGCTAGTTGACTGTTCCAAAGGTACTAGTTTGTTTCTGATGTGATAGTTGGAAATATTTGGGTAATAGGGAGGTCAGCTGATTGGTATGTTTCACACTTATTTAGCTTTGAGACTGTGCCTTTGGGGGACTTTTTGCAACTTCTGCATCCCTTGATTCCTAGGCTTTTTTTTTTGAATCCCGTCCTGAACTGGGCAAGAGTCACTATCAGAATGATGTGTATGATATTTTTAAAACACAAACTCTTCTTAAGGGCATTTTAACTGTTTCTCTTGTTACAACACATCGCGGTCATACCGTTTTCCCTCAGAATGTACAGGTCCAAATTTAGGGTGCGTCTGTTCATTCATTCATTTGTGCATTAATTCATTCGAGTCCCAGGAAGTCCCCCATGCCAGACACGCCCCCAGAGGCCGGGGGTGCAGGCACAGACGAGGCTCCCTGTCTAGTCCCGGAGATTGTCTTGCTGGTCACGCTCATCATCATGCGGTGCGAGCGTTCCCCGAGGGGCCTGGACGCGGTGCGGGGAGTTTGGGGCCAGCTGCTGATTTTCTTGTAGTTATTTCCAACTTTTCTCTACCCTGGCAGAAATTTGACCATCATGGAAAAGAATTTTGCTCTTTCTCCTGGGATTTTACTACAGGTTTAAAACTTAAGAAATAAAGACAGCATTTGAAATTGTTAAAAATGATGTGTTTCTCCCACAAAGTTTGTGTTCACTGCCTTAGAATTAAGCAATTTCCTGTTTGGTTAGGTCAGTTCCTTGGGGCCATGTGAAAAATGTTACAGCAAATATATTTTCTCCTTCTGTCACGGCAATACAAAAAATTCTTTGAGGCTGTAACACATTATACTTAAATTATAAGTATTTTTGTCTGCTTTGTCATGTGGTATCTCTGGCTCCTACACCTGCCCAGCACATAGTAGGTGCTCAAAAAATTCTTGTTGCCTGAATCAAACATTGTTGCCTGAATGGAGCCATGTGCCGTGTACACTCTTCCTCAGGAGTGGACCTCGAACTGAAACATCCCAAACGGATAAGAGCTCACTGTACCAGACGGAGGCGGAAGTCCTGGAGGGTGGGAGCCTGGGTTCCTGTCCAAAGGAACCCACTGCTCATCATAAAACTTCCTGTGCTAGAACCAGTAAAGGGAGCCTGTGTTCCTTAGTCTACTTCTTGCTCCACACTGGAGAAGGTGGTTGGGCTTTTTGTTCTCCTCTTGAGAACTCATGTTAAAATATTTGTATTTTTTTCCTTTGTCTACAGCAAAGCAAGGACTCTATTTGAAAAAAATGCTGCCCCGATTTTACACTTATCTGGCATGGATGTGACTGTCGTTAAGGTGAGACCTGCTGCAGTGTGTCAATCTTGTCCCAGCCACCGCTGCCTATGACATAGCCTCTTCTCTTGGCTTTTCCGCAGAAATCACTTATCACTTAAGACAAGAATGGAGAGATCAACGTTGTGTGCTTGTTCTGATAATGAAAGCAATTTTGTTTTCTCAAAGCATCATCAGCTTTTCATTTTCAGAGTAGGATTAGATGGAGGCATAAACTTAATTCCTTTCATGTGAAGATAGGATGTGGAATTATTGCCTCTTGGAAGATGAAAATTGTTATAGCTATAAGAATTCCTTTTTTAAAAAAAACCCTGCAAGTTTGAATAATTAATTTCTTGCTAGTTCCACAGACTGGTAAACATTTTTTTCTCTGGTGAGGAATTATTGCTGGTGAGGAATTTCAAATGGTAAAGCTTCAGAATTTGCAAGATTTAGTTAAGAAGAAAAGGTGATAAAATAAATTACAGGGAATTGTGTTATCTCGGAAGATACTTCAAGACTCCACCCTGTTGACTTTTAAGTGATGTGTATGGTGTGTACATAGGTGTGCGTATTGGATGAAAACCACTGCTACCACGTTTGTAAGTCTCTGGTTAACCTATTTTTAACACTACACACGTGTATTAAATCATAGAGATTAAAAGGTCATTTAGCTCAGCTTACCGGGCAGTGTTGGACTCTTCTCCAGCTTGTCCGAGATGGAGGGTTTCAGCTCTCTGCCTATGGGACTGAGGAAGGGGAAACAAACTAACATTCCGTTCAGTTCCTGTGGTGCATATTGTAGACTCTGCGTATTAGAGATCATAGAGTGATTACTTATCACTAATATTGTTTGTTCCTGGGATGTCTGGTGGAACTCACAAGTAAAACCATCTGGGCCTGGAGCTTTCTTTGAGGGATTTTTTAAAATGTATATTAAATTTATTTAATGGCTCTAGAAGTACTCAAGTTCTGTTTCTTCTTGAATTAATTTTGGTACGGTATATTTTTCAAGGAATTTGTTCATTTCATCAACGTTTTCAAATTAATTGTTCATAATATCCTCTTTTTACCTTTTAAATTTCTGTAACATCTCGTTTTCATGCATTAATATAGTTTATTTGTCCCCTTGTTTTCTTTCTTTCTCTCAATAGTCTTGTGAGAGGTGCATCAATGTAATTAATCCGGGCCAAGAACCATCTTTTGGCTTGTTGATGCTCTCACTTATGTTTGTTTCATTGATTTCTGGTTTGTCTCTCTTGTTTCCTTCATTCTGCTTTCTTTGGAATTTTTTTTTTCTGCTCTTTTTTGACATTTTAATGTGGATGCCTGTTTCATTAATTTTCACCCTTCTGTCCTACTATATGCATTTAAAGCTATAAATTTTATTCTACTTCTTCAGCTGCATTCTAGAAGTTTAGCTGTATAATATTTTCATTCCCAAGTATTTGCTAATTTTCATCATGATTTTTGTTTGACCTGTATGTTATGTAGGCATTTTTTTAAATTTCCAAGTTTAAAGTTTTTTCAAATTTTTGTTAATGATTTCTGATTTTATTGTGTTTTGGTCAAAGATTGCAGTCTATATAACTCTAGTATTTTAAAATTTTTTGCGGGTTGTTATGGCCTATCATGTGGTTTGTTTTCAAAAATGTCTTGTGTATTCCTAAAAAGAATTTGTACCAGTTATTGGAGATCATGTTCTGATTATGCCCTCGAAGTCAAATCTGTCGTGTGGCTCAAATCTTCTATGTCCTTCCTGATTTTTCATTGTGTTTTAACTATAGATTGTTCAGAGAGAGGTGTTAGAAATCCTCCACTATAATTGTGCATTTGTCTGTTTCTCAACATAGTTTTGTCCATTTTTGCCTTTGATATTTTGAGACTGTTTGCACGCAAATTTCAAATTATTTTTCTTGCATTTGAGTTACCGTCTGTAGCACTAATCCTGCATTTTGCCATAGTTCATCTTTTCTGTTATGGTTAGTACTCATACCAGCTTACTTTGGTTAGTTTCTGCATAGTGTAATTTTTACATCTCTTTACTTTCAGCCTTTTGTATTTTTATATTTTTATATTGTATTTTATTTTATTTTTTAAAGATTTTATTTATTTTTAGAGGGAAAAGGAGGGAGGAAGAGAGGGAGAAAAACACTGATATGTGTGAAACATTGATCAGTTGCCTCTTGCATGCCCCCGACTGGGGACCTGGTCCGCAACCCAGGCATGTGCCCTGTCTGGGAATTGAACTAGTGACCTTTCGGTTCACAGGCTGGTGCTCAGTCCACTGAGCCACACCAGCCAGGCATGTATTTTTATATTTTAGATGCATTGTTTGTAAAGGTGTGAAAACAGGATATTTTTAAAATCAATTTTTGTTTTTTGTCTTTTGACTGGACCACTTAATCTATTAACATTCATTATAATTGCTGATATATTTAGATTTATTTCTCTACTAGTTACTGTTGCTGTACAACAAACTGCCTCGACCACTGCCTTTCTGCTTCCAGGTCTGTTGGTCAGCAGCCTGCATTCAGAGCTGTTCTGCCTGTCTGGCCTGGGCTCCCCAGCAGCATGTCATTTACGGTTTGATAGCTCATTATTTTTCTCACTGAATAATATTCCATGGCATAGGTGTACAACAATTTCTTTGCCTTTTTACCTATTGATGGACATCTTGGTTGCTTCCAATTTTGGTAGTTATGAATAAGGCTGCTGTGAATATTCATAGGTAGGTTTTTATGTGGAGATAATTTTTCAACTCATTTGGATAAATACCTAAGAGTGTAATTGAATATGCTTAGCTTGGCAAGAACCTGCCAGGTTGCATTTGAGATCTTACTTCCCAGCATGTCATCTGTTTGACTAAACGAACTTTTATAAAAATGCAAAAACAAACAAACAAACAAAAAACCTGCCAAACTGCCTTTTCAAAGTGACTGTACCATTTTGCATCCCCGGCAGCAGTGAATAAAATTTGCTGTTGCTCTACATCCTTGTCAGCGTTTGGTGTTGTCAGTGTTTGAGGTTTTGGCCATTCTGATGGGTGTGTACAGGGGTGGGCAAAAGTAGGTTTATTTGCAGTTCTCTAATGACATAGAATACTGACCACCTTTTCATTTGCATGTTTTCTATCTGCATATCTTCTTTGGTGAGGTGTTTGTTCAGATCTTTGCTCTCTTAATTAGGTTGTTTCTTGTTTGTTTTGAGTTCTAGAGTTCTTTGTATCCTTTATCAGATATGTGTTTTGCAAAATTTTTTCTAATGCTGTCTTTTAAAGCTGTTTTTTAATTGTCTCAATAGTGTTTTTCACAGAGCAGAAGCTTTTAATTTTAAGGAAATCCAACTTACCAATTTTTCTCCTGTGGATCTTGCTTTTGGTTGGTATATCTAAAAACTCATTACCCAGGTTCTAAATCCTCTCCTAGGTTATTTTCTAGAAGTTTTGTAGTTCATTGTTTTGTTTTTTTTTAATTTTACATTTAAGATCATGATCATTTTGAATTAACTATGTGAAAGGTATAAGGTTAGTGTGTGGATTCATCTTTTTGCATTATTATGGCCCTTTTCTATCCTCCCTTTGGCACATTTGGAATTTTCATCGTAAGATCAGACAGAGCCTCAAATGTGTTGTCTCTGTTGATGTAACCTTTAAAATTATGTCCTGTTGAATCTGTCCAGATCTTTTTACATTTTGGTTCTTTCCTCCCTATACTTATTCACATCTATTAAATTTTTTTTTTTTTTTTTTTTTTTGCAAATGCTTAGTGAGTGCCTACTAGGAGGTAAGCCTTGTACTGGGGATACAGGCAAAACAAGTCTTTTCCATCTCTCCTCAAAGAGCTTCCATGCAAAGTGTGGAGGGAAGGGGTGCAGAAAAAGAACACAGAAATAAACATGATTTGTCCAGTGGTGCTGAAAGCCAAGGAGTTTAAAAGTCAAGCAGGGTAAAGGGACCAAAAATAATAGGAGTGTTCATTGAGTTCAGAAGGCCAAGGACAGAGACCTGAAGGACCTGAAGGAGGGAGGCAGCTGCTCCCAGAGACGGAGAACCCAGGCGGCGCGCACGGCCCGGCCAGGGCGGAAGTGCGCTCGGGCGGGCAGGGGTGGAGTGGAATGAGGTGGGAAGCCCAGAGAGAGGCTGAGGGTGGAGAAGGAAGCGGGCGCAAGGTTACCGCTTTGTCTCAATGATGATGTGTGCAGTAAATTACCTTTTATCTCCGTTGTCGATAAAGTGCTGTAAGGGAGAGGCTGAAGGGAGAACCCTAAAGAAAAGTCACTGAGAACCTGCCTACACGCTGATGTCACTTCACTGGGCGTCTCGCTTTGAGCCTAGATGTTCATTTAATTGGTAACTAATATAATTGTATTCTGACATATCATTTCCACATTTTCCCACCTGTCCCCAAGGACGTTGTCCAATAGCTGGGCAGGTGCCTTGCTGAAAACCAGTTATGATGTCTGACTGGTTTCCCAGACCCACTGATCTAGTAACCTGCCAGAGCTGAGGACGAGTCCGAGAGGCTTTGTCCTTAGCGACCCCATGCTGATGCCCAATGATCCCCCACTTTGGGGTGCTCACAAACCAGTCTTTTAATTCAGATTGGCATATTTTTCTTTATAAAATATTTGAAAACATATAAAGCCTGTCATTTCAATTTTTAGAATAAAAGTAGGACCATTGATCCTAAAATTAAGTGGTGTTAGTTCAGGGACTTCCGTTTTCCTTGTGTCCACCGACTTACTGGCCCAGTGCATTAGCCTACCTGAAATACAAGTCTTTTTTTGTTTTTGCCTATTAGCATAGGTAGTATTAGTATCAGTCAGAGGGAGTATTTCCTTATTTTAGCATTAGTTGCATTATGTCTATCAAAATTCAGTGTTTGGTTTTAAAGGTGGTGGCTTAGGTGGTTCATTTAGTGTCTATATCTGAGATGAAATATTATCAATAAAAGTGGTGATGCCTAGGTACATTTTGACTAATTTGAATCGTACCTATACTTGACGTACAATATTTCTGTGTACAGTGATATCCTCCTTTGATTTAGTACAGCACCAATTATGAACAGTTACCTTGCTAGTTGCTTTAGTCCTGTTTTACAAGCGCATTATGGGGAAGCTATGATTACCCCCTCCCCCAACACACATAATTTCATTGATGAGGAGATTAAGATCCCGAGACTTCAAGGCCACTCAGCTAAAGCAGTAGCAGAGTTGAGACTTAATCTAGGTCTCTCGGGCTCCCAAGTCTGTGCTCTTTTCGTTCCATTGCTCCTCCTTTGTGTTTACACTTCACTTCCTGCCTTTGGAGGAAAGACTCTGGTGAATGAAGCTGCGGAGTCTGCGCTGGACCCGGGATAGGCCTTTGATGAGCTCACTGCGTAGCTGAGACACACCAAGGAAGAGGCCGACGGGATGGTTTCCGCGGTCCCTTCTGGCTCTAAAGGCACAGAACTATAAAAACCATGCAGAGTTGCTTTGTTAGCTGTTCAGCGGTTCATGTCTATCAATCGTGTAGGATTTAGAAAAGACTCAGTGTATGACGTCGCAGAAGATAACCTGTACTTGTATACCTGTCACTGGTGACCCTAGAGCGGTGCATTTACCAAAGGCTGCCTTTGTATTTCAGACGGATTATGAGGGCCAGGCCAAGAAACTGCTGGAGCTGATGGAGAGCACAGACGTGATCGTTGTGGCCGGAGGCGACGGGACGTTGCAGGAGGTACGGCCGCTCTCGGGCGGGGAGCTGGCCGCAGAGCAGTGGCACGCAATGGGTATCCCTTAGGGAAATTATTTCTTCATGATCCATGTATTAGGATTGTTTCTGAAACAAAGTACCACGTTATGTTTTCCTCAGGCACTGATTTTTTAAGTCTGATAAAATTAAATACAGCAGGCAACAAACTGGCGGTGGGTGTGGTGAGCTCTTCCTTTTTTGAAGACTGTTGTGGGAATCATAGCTTCAGTTGTGAGGAGTGTTTCTTAGGCGATACACAAGGTTTCCCTGACGGGAGGCATCTGCTCACCCTCACTTCACTCCTGCCACGCGGGCTGTGATCGCCCTGTTCCGATGGATGCCTCCGCCTTTGCGCCTCCATCTCACATCCTGAGTGCTCACTTGGGCCCGATAAGGGCTGTAAGTGTATTGCCTTAAAGTGCTCTTTTCCGAGCAGTAGACCGGAACCTCCACTGCACGCGGGAAGCCCCGCAGGAACCCCCGCAGGAACCCAGCCCCGCGCAGACCGCCCTCCGCTCAGCCTGCGCCCTGTGACCGCAGTTCACGCGGCACCTCGCTCTCACCGCCTTCTGCCTCCATCTGGTGGTGTCCTGGTGGCGTCCGGAACCAGGAGCGAGCCCCACAGGCCGGCACCGCTTTGCGTTTTGTTTGGCTTAGCAGTTCTGTGAGCCTTAGTAAGCTGCTTTTAAAAAGGCTGTGCTAATGATCTCGTAATTGTTTTAATGGCTTTTTAATGAAGTGTGAAGAAGACTGATAGCATGTCACAAAGAATGAAGTAGATGCATGACAGTCCCCTTTAACCCTAAAATGCAGTGAGGCGGGAGATGAAGGGAGAAGATTGGCATCAGCCTTTCCTTTACAAAATCTTAAGAAAGATTCCAAATTGTGTATTTGGTATGATCCAGTCATAAAAATATGCCCTGATGAAAAAGGAATTAAAGGGAAATGTACCAAAATATCAACAACTGATCAATGATGGTTATTCTGCATGGTGGATATATGAGGAAATATTTTTTCTCCAGGTATTTTTCAGTTTTTACCAGATATAATGAACTATATTATATATAAAAAATAAATTATGTAAGTTTGCAAATGAAACGTATCTTTTAGCAGAGGGTCTACTGTTATCCATCAATAAGCGGCAGTGTTCTCCAAGGGTAGACCGGGGTGGGTTTTTCAAGTACATGCACTTGATTTTAGCAAACCGGGGTCTTTTGTATAATTGATGTGAGCAGCACATTTATACACATCTTCTAGAATGTAAACCATAATTCTGCGAATATAATGTGGAGATTGTAGAAGTATTTTATCTTAGTCCTTATTGTACTATGGGCCTTAGGTCAAAAATAAAATTTAGCTTAGCTGTGATCCTATAGGAGAAAACTATGTGTTTCAAGAGCAAGTACATCTTTTGACATAGTTTCTAGGAAGAAAACAGGAACAAGTTTGTGGTCCATGAAAATTGAATCCAGTTCTTTTATGATAGAGGAAATACACGTTGTTCATAAAATTTTTTCCTTAACATTTTTAGGTTATTACTGGAGTTCTTCGAAGAGCAGATGAGGTAAGCCTTTAAGAAGAGTCATTGCATTTTAGCTTTTACATTTCTGTTCTTTCTGTCTCTCTTTACTTCCATTAGCTTTTTTGCCCGTTTCCTAATTTAAGGTTGTACATCCGTGTATTTTAGAAAGACAAGCACAGCTTCTTTGTCCTATAGGGCACTGGATTAACCCATAGGGGACTCTTCTGCCTTGGGTACCCAGAGAATCCAAGAGCTTTTACCAAGCGTTGTTTAAAATATGCAACTTTTCTATACAATCTTTTTAAAAGGATTCCTTTGTAAATAAATTGTGGCATATTCATATACTGGAAGCCATACAGAGGTGAATATGAATGCACTGCATTTATAAGTATTTACATGGTGAAATCTAAAAAATATTAAGTAAAAAAGGCAGGTTGCCAAAGTATGTTCTGCATTTCTACAAAGTTTTAAAGTTTAGAAAATAAGCGTCCTGTTCAGGATGCTGTGCGTGGTCACCGTGGATGCAGAGGCGTCACACGGCCGCAGGAGAAGGGCTTCCCTCTGCCAGGGCGAGAGAAGGGGAGGGTGAGAGGCGACCTCAGCTGTAGCGGCACCATTTCATTTCTTACACCGTCCTAAGCAAATATGGCAAAATGTAACATTTGGTAAATCTGGGTCCTGGACGTATGAGTGTGTGTGACATTATTGTAAACATTTTTAGTTTAAAGTATGTTGCAAATAACAGGAAAGAAAACCCTTCCCAGCTCCTTTGGTAATAAGTGGATTGTCTTCAAAATAGCCTTCGGGGACCTGACAGTGTCTCTGTATTTGTGGCATTTAACTAAATCGATGGCTGGGCCATCACCGCCTTCTGCTCAGACTCGCTTCCTCTCTTTGCCTTGCATGTGCCGGCGATAGTTCCTACCGCCCTTCCGCCTCTCATCGGTTACTGCGCACAGGCCAGATGTTTGGAGTTGAATTTTATCTGCAACCTTTTCAAATAGTGTGATGACATCATACAGCCTCTGTCACAGTTGTGCATTTGTCTAGTATCTTTAAGATCCTCATTTTTTAAGCCAGTTTTTGTTAACCAGTTGTTATTAACAAGTACCAGAATATTTCTTTCAAATTCAAAGTCATGCTGTCTTCACGGACGGCCTCAGCTTAGAAACTGCCGCCTGAGTACTGACCGATGACTGGTCTAGGGAGTGGGAAGGGAGGCCGGGAGGAGCGCCCAGGGCCACTTCCAGTCACTCGTCACAGTAGATGGCGCATCGGTGCCTCTCTGTTCAGCCTGATTTCCTGACCGTAACAATAAAATTGTCCTCTTCTTTTCCTTGCCAGGCTGCCTTCAGCAAGATTCCCATCGGCTTTATCCCGCTGGGGCAGACCAGCAGTTTGAGTCAGACCCTCTTCGCTGAAAGTGGAAACAAAGTCCAGTAGGTTGTCACTGTGGGGTGTGGAGTTCGTGACCGAGCGAGCCTGGGAACAGACAGGTCACATGTGGGATGTGATACTTATTTTGCGTTTTGATAGCCTGAAACCTCCAATCACTGAGGGCCTGGGTCAGAGACCGACCCTTCCGTTCCCTGGGGAGCTGGGGGACCCTTGCGATCTAATCGCAAGTCTCCAGCCTGGGAATGGAGATGAACGCTGCTGTCCTTCTGCCCGTTGCAGAGAGACCCTCCCTGAACTGCTTTCAGGCTTTTGCGTTGTAAGAGTCTCTAGTGAAAAACAGATTTGCACTAATCACTTGTCTGCTTTAAATATACACAGTGACAAATAGTGAGCCCTTATGAAAACTGAGCCAGCAGCCTTGGCTTCGTTATCTTAACATAAGCAGCTAAAAGGATGACGACCTGCAGTCGCATCCTCTTGGGAAGCCGCAGAGGGAGGCCGTGGGGGAAGCAGGCGGGCGGCGGGGTGGCGCTGCCACCCGGGTCAGTGGCTGCGAGCCTGGCGGTGTCCTCGGGGTCAGGCGGCCGGCCGCCGCCGCTGCTCATTTCCGTGCAAAGCGTTCCGGACACAGGCCTCTTGTCTTTGGAGTAAATGGGATCCTTGAATTTGAGTCTTGAATTTGACAGTGATGAATAATATAACCTTGAGCAAATTGTTTCCAGGCTCACTGTCAGGTGCCTGGCCTTTCATGAAAGCTTTGTGACACCCGAGGGTCAGGGGTCAATAGATAAATATTTGTTGAATGAATTAATCAGAATCTTATGATTTCTGGTTATAACCTTCTAGAATCAACAACAATAATAATTCTCAGTTGGTTTTTCTTTTATTCAATTTTTTTTTCTAGTTTTGGATTTTCTTTAGGCTGGTTTTGTGGATTTGTTTTTGCCGTTGTAATTTTAGGCGTCATATGTTTTAACAATTCGACATTTTTAAAAATAAAAGCCTGGGTCCAGGTATCGAACACTGGGCCTAAACGTCCGTATACCAGACCTTCGTTGAAATGTTTCTCGTGCTCCAGGCCTTGCACTGACAGGGAGGGTGTAGCCCCACACCAGCCATCCTGTGGCCGTTTCAGCGCGCCCGGCTTTCTGTCTCCAGGGCAGGATTTGCGCGGATCCGAGACAGGGCGGTGAATTACCCAGCTCCGCTTATCTAAGTCACGTCACATCTGGTTTGGGTGTTGGTTCCTTTACAGAGCTCGTCTTCCCCTTTGTGTGAATGTAGGTTGTTTGAACCCCTTAGCCAACACTCCCAGGTATGTCAGCGATCCAGAGGTAGGTGGGCCGTGTCCCTCGGAGAGCCCCTTGCCTGGCCAGAAGCCAGCAGATGCTCACCGTGGCCACCCGAGGTCCTCATGGCCTTTGGTTTGGGGGCAGTTGATCTTTCTCTGTAGTTAAGCTAATGTTGTTGCCATTTCTATATCTGATTTAAAGATTTAGAAAACTTAATTTAGAGCACGCCCCGGGGCTCTTAGGTAATGAAGTCTGCCCCTGGGTTCAGAATTGTGCAGACCCCTTAACGTGGCAGATGCCCGAGGCTACTGTAAAGAACAAGGCTTTGCTTTCTGTACTGTTGTCAAGATTTACTGTACCAGGATTAGTGGGGAAGAAAAAGAAATCTGGAATGTTGCAGGTAACGGATCATAAAAAATAGCTGTTATGTGCTATAATGCTGATTTATTTACAACTTACAGTTATTGCTGGAGAATGATAAATTTAAGGGTGCATTCTAGCCATCTTCTGCAAAACAATTTTGGAAAAAGAATTACTATGAAAAGGCTTTTTTTTTGGTGCAGCATTTGTTTTTGAGGTCCTTCTCTGGAAAGCATTTCCGAAGCCTCTCGGTGTGCTAGCTGCCCCTCAGAGGACGCGCAGAGCTTCGGGGCCCTATCAAACAGCCTCCTCCCCAAGGAGCATGCCCGTCTCCGATGCGTCTGCTCTGGCAGCCGTGTCTCTTGCTTTCTCCAAGGCTAAATCTCATATTCTAAAAAGCGGCCTACTTCCTGGATAGTATCTGTATAAGAAGGGGGAGAAACGAGGCGAAGGCGTTTTGACAAAGAAATATGAGAAAGTAAAGATAGATTTTTTTCTTCTGTTCCAGCTTGCTTACTAAGGAAGCAGAATGTAATCTAAGCGTTTGCATTAACATGTGTATTTGGGAGATTCTAAAGTATCTTAAGTTGTATGGAACTTTGTTGGCAACACCCATTTAAGTGGACATGATTCCCGACTCAGGTGTTTACCTGTTCAGCCCGGCCACACCGATGCGGAGGTCCGTGGGGCGCACATCTTAGATAGGGGGCTGCCCCCGGGAGTCCCTGGTTACCTGTTTGCCGTGTGCAGGGCAGCCTCCCAAGGCGGAGAGAGCGTGCCTTTGGGGTGGAGGCCCACCGCCAAGGGTTGCTTCGCCACGTGTTTGCTCTGTGGTCTTGGGAATTTTATTTAATCTCTCTGAACCTCACCTTCCTCCTATGTATTTGTCAAATGCCCAATAACAGTACTTAGAAGGTTATTTAAAAACCCAAATAAGGACTAGTGAGGTAAATACGTAATCATGCCTAGCAAACTATGCAATACATTGAAGACTTTATGCCTATTTTTGAAAATTTATTTAGGGTGAAAACAAATAGGATAACTATATAATTACTGAGGCTAGATTTTATCATTAAATTTTCTTGCAAACTGTTTTACATAGAAAAAAAAATTTTTTTAAGGAAAGAACATATTATAGGTATTCTCATCTGTTACTGTGGAGGGGGCACTTTCCTACCAAATTCACATTATTAATCAAAACTCTACAGAGCAGCCGTGGCTGGTGTGGCTCAATGGATTGAGCGCCAGCCGGCCTGTGAACCGAGGGGCCACCAGTTTGATTCCCAGTCAGGGCACGTGCCTGGGTTGTGGGCCAGGTCCCCAGCAAGGGGTGTGCAAGAGGCAACCACTTAATGTATCTTTCACACATTGATGTTTCTCTCCCTCTTTTTCTCCCTCTCTTCCCTCATCTCTTAAAATAAATTTAAAAAACTACAGAGCAGAATAAACCAGGAGGGGCTGTATTAGGAGAGAAACTGCTCTTTTTTGAATGGAAATTAAAATAGTTTCTAGATAACTCCTGTCTTGCAGCTGTCCTTAAACTCCAGACACAATAAATTGTTTACTTTAGTACTCATAATAATTATTTATTTTTCTAAAACATGTATAACAGTAATAAAGGCAATAGAATATTAACAATGCTAAACTTTTAGAAAAACCTGAAATGCTTAGGGATAAATCTAACAAAATATGTGTAAGATTTATATGATGTAAACTTCATAACATTGAAGAGAGGAACTGAGACCTAAATAAGTGGGAAAATACCAGTGTTCATGGAATTCGAAGCTCAGTATTTAGCTGTCAGTTCTTTCTAACTTGGCATAAATTCAGCACAGTCCCAAAGTTCCCAAAGACTTTTTGAAGAAATTGGCAAGTGGAGTCTAAAATTTATATGGAAAAGTAGAGAACTAGAATAGACAGAATAATTTTGAAAAAGAATAAACATTTTTGAGGACTTGCCCTATCTGATTTCAAGACTTACTCTAAAGCTACAGTCATCCAAGGTAGCCTGGTGTTGGCAAAAGAGGAAACATAGAGCTCAATAAAAGAAAGGCCCAGAATTAGGCCCACACATATATGGACGCTTGATTTTTTGACAAAGGCTCTTAGGTAATTCAATGGAGAAAGGACAGTTTCCCCTTCCCCCTCCCCCTCCCCCCAACAAATGGTGCTGGAAAATTAGACAACCACACGTAGGGAAATGAGCCACAATCTATACCTCATACTACCTTTAAAAAGTTACATGAAATGGATCACATTTTGTAAAAGTTTATGTAAAAGCTAAAAATGTAAAGATTCTAGAGGAAAACTGTGACCTTGGATTAGGCAGTGATTTCTTAGGACACAAAATGCAGAAACCATGAAAGAAAAAGGTGATAATATAGATATCAGCAAAATTTAAAGCATCTATTCTTTGAAAAGCACTGTTAAGGAAAGAAAAAGCAGACCACAGACTGGGAGAAAATATTTGCAAGACACATATCTGATAAAGGACCAGTATCCAGAATATACAAAGAGCTCCCACAACTCAGTAACAAAACGAGCAGCCTAACAGAACGGAAGGCAGAACATTTGAAAACAGACACGTCACCAAAGGATAGACATGCGTGGCAGAGAAGCCTGTGGAAAAATATGTTACTCGTCATTAGGGAAGGCACATTAAATCTGCTCTGAGATGCTACTGCGCATCCCTCAGAACGGCTTAAACAAACCATACAAAGCCCTGGTGTTTCCAGCGCTGACAGATCCGCGGAGCGCCGATGGAAGCTCTCCTGCTGGCGGGCGTGCAAGGCGAGGTAGCCGCTCTGGACACCAGTGCGACACCTGCTGGTAAAATTCAGCTTTGAGCAGCAGTCACACACTTCTAGGTATTTACCCAAAAGAAATGAAGACAACACGTGTCTGTACAAAAACCTGTACGTGAATGTTGACATTATCTATATGTGTAACTGCCAAAAACTGGGAGCAGTGCCCATGTCCCATCAGCTGGTGAATGGATGGAAAAATTGTGGAACATCTGTACAATGGAATAGTACTCAGAATTAAAAAGAAGCAGTCCATCGGTGCATTCCCCAACGTGAATGCAACTCAGACTCATGCTAGAAGAGTTTTCAAAACCTGGACTGGAAAGAAAAGCTCCATACTTTTAAATTCAGTTTACATGACATTTTGGAAAAGACAAAACTGTAGGTACAGAAAACAGGGTAATTGCCAGGCAGGGAAGCGGGTTGGCCCCAGAGGGCCACGAAGAAATTTTTTGGGATATTGGAAATTTTTTAAATGTCAGTTACAGTGATGGTTACATGACCGAAGGCATTTGTCAAAATTGTAGAGCAGTGCAACCCAAAAGGATGAAATGGACTGTGTATCAATCATATTCCAATAAATCTGACTTGAAAAAGAAGCTAAACTATTAAACTAGTCGTTTTAAACTTAAGTAACTGTATTTGCATAGAACGAGCACTCGGAGCTGCTCGTTTCTCCTCCACCCGGTTCTCACCGACTGACAGGCCTCACCGGCTGCTGCCGCTCCGTTCGGTCCCGGCTCTGCCTGCCTCGGGTGCGGCCGCTGCCGCAGTCTGCCCATGGGGGCAGTGGGCATCAGTGAGGCCAGCGACTGCTGTACTGAACACAGCAAATATTTTAAAATCCATTTGCGTTCATAGTGAAACTGAAGAATAAAAATGAAAAACTCGGTCACTTTTAGAGGGTACTAGGGAATTGACTTATTTTGAAAATTTGTAAAAATTTTTAAAAACCCACACTTGTTTATGCTGATTTTCTTATTTAACCTACATTACAAGGTGCCTGAATTGATGAGGAAATGTTTCTCTTTGTAAACCAATTAAATTGGAAGGAATAGTAGAATCAAAACATCACCGTTTTTGCAACTCTGTTAATAAATTGCGCCAACGGTTATCATTGCTTTCTATCATCACAGAAAGAGAGGGGACCGGATTTTACGGGCTTGCCGCCGGAAGTACACACCCCCATCTGTCGAGTATTTTTGCCAGAAACTCAAAGCTGAACCTGATACAGATTTCCTGTGTTAGATACAGGTTTTCAGGAACTTCAGGGAAGGGAGACACATGTTAACACCAGCGGGGGACAGTCAGTAAATCCAGACCCTCAGGAACTCAGTGAGACCACCCATTTCTTTAACAAGTAGGGAGAGGAAAAGGATAGGGTGTCTAGATTAGAAGAGACTTGAAACATGAATTAATTGCAACGTATAGATCTTATTTGAATCATGATTTGAATAAACAACACAAGAAATATACATAAGTTAATTGGGGAAATTTTAACATCAATAAATATATATTGATATAAAGGGATCGTTTAAATGTTTTAGACAACAGCAGTTTATCTTCTTTCAAAAGAAAATATCCTTTTAGAGCTACATAGGGAATTACCCGGGCTGCTTCCAGATGCTGGATGTAGGCTTCCTATCGGTCAGCAAGTGCGTGCTAGTCACCACTGACCTGTGGGACTTTAAGTCTCCAGGAGGAGGCAAGTGATGTAAATAAAATAGGTGTCCCAAATTGTGAAGGGACATGAGCACGGCCCAGGGGCAGGGGATTATGGGAAGGACTGCCTCTAGGCTGGTTAGGGCAGGTGGTGACATTGCAGCTGAGTCGCGGAGGGTGGGAAAAGCCAGCGATGCAGACAGTGGGGACAGGCTGGGTGAGGGAAGGGTTCGATGTGGGTTCGCTCCTCCCTGCTCCGAGGGCAAATGCCTGGCTGTCCGACCGCTTGCTGAGTTACTGTGTCTTTTGCTGACTCTCTGTTGTGCATTAATGTGTGTCTGACCTTGGGTCTAACAGAGTATAAACCCAGGACTGTTGCTAAGCCCGGCATAGTCTCAGGCTGTGCTTCGATGGGGCGGTGCACCCCTTTTGCACCTGTCAATTTTCAGCCGTCAGAATGTAAATAGAAACGGCATTGTGTCTTTGAGCAGAAGAGTCAGCAATTAAAATGAAGTACATCCTAGTTATCTTGGAAAATAAGAGAAGTATGTCTTGGGTTATGGATTATATTTTACTAAGATAATTCCAACAAATCCTCTCCGTTAGTTACCCTTGGGTTGTGTTTAGAGCAATACGAAATACTGCTTTGTAAATTTCTTAAAATGATTGAAACATATTCTACTGTTACCTATTTAAGTAGTGTCATATTTTCCAGTGATCAGGATCAGGCATGATATGAAAACTCAATAAGTTTTAAGTAAATAAATGATTGGTACCTTGTATAAACTTCTCTTTGCCAAAGCCTTCCCTTTGAGTCTGTATCAGAGCCTTCCCCTATATTTGTATCAGTAATTCTTTTATACTTCTTGGTTCTGTTTTCTCAGTACTTTGAAGAACTATGTCTTTTTCTCCTGAGCCAACTATTAGTACGTGGACAGGAATGTGTGCATGGGGCCGAGGGGGAGGTGTCGCTTATTTTTCACAATGTGAGCATTTCCTCCTTGGTATCTTTCAGACATATTACTGATGCTACACTTGCCATTGTGAAAGGAGAAACAGTTCCCCTTGATGTCTTGCAGATCAAGGTAAAGTCCTTTCTTGAGCTTGAAAATATTAACAAAACAACACATGTAAAGAAAACAAAACGTAACAGTTCAAATGAGATCATGAGAACAACAGTCCCTCTTCTTACCCTTTCCTACCCCAACTATAACTCCCCAGAGAAAAATAATTTCACCTGTTTATTCTAATTATCACCAGTAAGTATATTAACAATGCTACTTTTTAAAGTTGTGGTTAAAAATATACGTGGAATTTGTCATCGTAACCATTTTTAAGTGTACAGTTCAGCACTGCTAAGTATGCGATACTGGTTTTTGATTGATCAGTTTTTGACCTTATCTCTTGGCCTCTTTGTTATGTATAAGAATTCGTCTGTGCCCCTCCCATCATAGCTGGGTCCCTATTTTTAGTTCCTCCTGTGATTAGCTCTGCACCTCAGGCCTTCTCCCTGCCCCCCCTCCCCACCTCACCTGCTGTTCACGCTCAGAAAGCCTGATGAATAGCGAGTGGAGCGCTCAGGGCAGCGCCTGCTTCGGGCGCGTGGCTGCGCTTCCGTCCCCCACGCGCTGCCGGGGGGCGCGGCCCTTCTCTCGCCCCGTCTGTCCATGGCAGGGGCCAGCTTTCTTGGAATTCAGGCCACCTGGTTGTCTTAGAATCTCAGCCCTCTGATGGGCATAAGAAGTATTATGATTCTGTGGATTATCTGGCTTTTTCCTCTTTTTTAGGGTGGGAACAGTGTTCTCTGTAGCTTCCAACATCCTAGATGGGAGCAGAACTTCCCATTTTTCTATTGGGTTTTCTAATGCTTTCTGATTGATTTGTAGATGAACTCACAAATTGCTTTAGAGATATGCTTGTTGGCTTTGCAATTATGTTGCTTAGAACCAGCAACACCCACAGCAATGGGCATACCTGGCACCCAGATTTTAGTCTTGGAAGCCAGTCTCTAAGTGACCAGCACTCTCTGAAGGGCTGGCTTTCAGGGACAGGGCAAGAAGGCGGCGAGGAAGTACGCAAGAGCTGGGGGCAGCGGTGGCACAGAAAGGCAGGGAGCTGGCCTGGCAGTGTCCTGCTGGCCGATTCTGAGACCGCTGGAGCGTCAAAAAGCAGAACAGTGCTAATGAAGACTCCCCCACCCTGAGGGGTCTTGGAGAAGAACCGCCATGGGATGCGCGCGTGAGTTACCATTTTGTAATCGCCAGTGAAGTCACTGAGTCAGGCAGGCATCCTCAGTGGCTGCTAAAACTAGGAGATAAAATGTTGTCAGGAAACAAATACCCACGCGGTATCACAGATTGCTCAACAGTTACCAAGGGAAAAACGCGCCTTCATGTAGCTCCCCTCCTCCGATGCTGCTGTTCACTCTAGCGTGCTGGCTGCCAGCGAGCCCGCAGCCGGCCCAGTGCGCAGCCTCCTCCCCTTGCTCTCCTGCAGGGGCGCCCTGACTCCCGACTGGGCCCGCTGGGCTCGACAGAAGCAGCTGCGGCTGCAGCTGAGTCTTAGCATATAGCGAAGCTCTTGGAAAATGGACGGGCTGGACTGCAATTCCAACCTCTGGCACAGTTACTACAGCCCGGCATCTGTGAAGCTATTTTAAAATATTGTTATTACCCAAGGAGGTGAATCTGGATATATCTCTTAATATCTGAGTGATTTACTGCTCCTCATGCATGTGTGAGAAGTAATGACGGTCTGGAGTAACTAGGAATGACCTGGACATTCTTCAATGGCTCCTGGGTCCTTTATCCTCTTTTTCCACGTACGCTGATTTTGTGCATTGATGGAACCAGTATCAGACTCACCACAGGCTCTGCATATTGATGACATAACCCAGGAAGCAGCAAACTTAGAATCAGTTCCTAGAAGACGCAGTCCAGCGGCCTGTACGGTGGTTTCTGAGGCACCGGGCTAGGCGGAGTGTGCCGCCTCTCTCTCCTGCCGCCTGGAGCTTGTCTTCTGCGCGCGGGGGTGAGCGTCACACACGGGGAAGCCCGACCCCGCACGTGGCGTTCCAGCCCAAACCCAAGGCCACGTTCCTCTGCTTTCAGAAAACCAAGCCCAAGGCCAGTTAATCATACAGCCAAAGCTTCTCCAGAGGTAAAAAGAAATAGTCCTTGGAAGCTTTAATAATGCTTGGAAGCTGTAATTTAGCTTTTCTACTTTTTTCAGTTCGCATTCACATCTCATTTGGATCTCCAGCTCAACGAGGAAGGCAAGATGTATATTAATATCTTATTCGACAAATAAGAAAATAAGAGTCCTCTGATCGTCATATGACTGGCTGTCCTGGGGACAGGATTGGCGTGTAGGTTTTGTCTTATGTCCTATCACTTGTCCACCTTAGTGTGCCTCTTGGCGCTATCCCATGAGTTTTAAAGGGCATTTCCCCATGCAGACGTCAGTGATGCACAGGACTTGACTTTAAAGTCACTGCTGGAAAGACTTAGGGAATCCTTTCCAGTTCTTTCTTTCAGCTGGACGCTCTTAGACCCTGCCAGCCCAGAACCAAATGAGGAGCGGAGGAGAGGCGGCGAGAGTGGGCCTCGCTCCTCTTGCCCCTTCATCCTGGCTCCTGGCAGGGCTCCCTCCCATCCGGCCCCGGCCCCTCCCACAATCCTCCTCTCCTCACGTGCCATCAGAGCAGCTTCCCGGCCAGGGCTCCTCCCAGGCTTCGTCCCGGTCACCCCGCGTCCCTATAGCTCCTGGATTAGGCGCCTGTCTAGTTGACAGGAATTCTTTTCTCTTTGCTGTTCCTCAAGCCTTTATTCCAACCAGCTCTCCCAATTCCTTCCCTCTGCAAACCAGGAAGCCATTTTCTCTGAGGAATTTCCTCTTTCCAGGAGAGTCTGTGAACCGGGGCAGCACATCTTTGCTCTTCAGATCCGGCCACCTCTCTGTTTCTCCTTCTGTTAACGGACCCGCCCGTCTCGTAACCTGACGATTGCCCAGGCCCTTGTCAGGCTGAGAGGCCACTGTCCAGTGGCTCCTACTCTGTCCCTCTGACCTCACTTGTCCTTCCTGTGCTCGTGTGGACCCAGCAGGGACCAGTCTCCCCATCACCGACCCTCGGGCCCCTCGTGAGTCCCGGTGGCTCTGTGTCCATCGGCTGCCAGCGGGGCTGCTTTAAAGCGTCTCACACTCATTCCCTGTCGTCCACAGCCACCGCCCCCCCTCGCTAGGACATGGTCCCCAACTCGATGGAACCTTGAGGTCACAGGGCCTTTCAGTTAATCTTAACAGAGCATTCCTAAAAGGCTCCCCCCTCAGAGGCAGAAAGAGAAGAGAGTCGTGAGCCTGTCAGGAGTGCCAGCACTGGGTGCCACTCCGCACACGTGGGAGAGCGCTTCCCAGGCACGGTGGGAACGCAGAACCTTCTCCCAGCTAACCGCCCGGACGCGGCGCGGTGCACTTCTCCCTGGGAAATTTGTAACAGCGCGCGTTCCCGTCTCCGAGACGCTTAAGAACAGCCGCACTGAACGTGGCCTGCTCCAGCCAAATAAGTTTGGTATTTTCCCACTCACTGTACCATGGAATCTTCTGTCATCATTTGTAGGAGCAGTAGCACCGCTGAGTGATGTCTCACAGGCCGTTGGGCGGAGGCTCCTATGGGTCCAGCAAACGCACGCCACGCTGTTTCTCAGGCTGGAGCGCCCTTCCTCCTTCATCACGTTTCTTTCTCTCCACACTTCTCCCCAGCCTCCCCCTGGTTCTTTCCAGTTTCATGGTTTCGCTTTAGGTTCCACGTGTGCTTTCCCTGACCATCCTTTGCCCCCTGCGCCCCCGCCACTTGTCACACAGTCCCCGCCGCTCTGCACTTCCACGGTGCGCAACACCATTTGAACCTAATGTGTCGTATTGTTACTGCCTGTGCCCGAACCCCCCACTGCACCTTGAGCCCTTTCAGGGGCAGACATTTTCTTAGTGCTGGTTCCTAACATATAATATGTCTTTGTTAACCAAACTGTTGGCGGGGAATGAACGATCGGCGGGACGGCTGAAAACCCTGCCCCCTTCCATCTCTGCCGTTGGCCCCCAAGACGAGTGTGTCCCGCACTGCCGGCCGGGCGCGGCATCACCCACACCTCTGTGCTCCCCCATCTCTCGTCCCTTTTTCCTTTGCTCACGCGGGTACAGAAAGTAGGAAAGCAAACCTGCTGCTTGAGCCAGACACACAACCAAGGACGGCGAGGCCGTGGCTATTTGTGTGTGATTCTCGCAGAAATCCCTCACTGGGTCTGGGAGTAGTGGGGACAAGTGTGAAGGTGGGGTTGACGGGGAAGCACAGCCTCCCTGAGAACAGTTAGCAACCTTCCCCAGGCCGGCAGCTTCCAGGGTCAAGGCCCGTCCTCCAGCTCCAAATCTGCTGCTCACGTGGCTTGTAGCGGTGGATATCGAGCCGGCTCTGCCCTGTCTCGGAAACGGTGGGGCCGTGTCCCGCTCTGGGCGGCTCTCTCCAGAACGCGGGGTGCTCCTGGGCTTTAGCTGTGATTCAGAGCTACGGAAGCCCCCCGCTGGTATACCTATTATTTATACTTTAAGGCAGGGCCATCACGGAGCATGAACTCTCCAAGGTGGTGGCTCTATTGTGTGTGTTTCCTGTACATTGCTTATCTCACGGATTTATTAGAAACTCACTGGTTATAATATCTAGATGCAATATTTCACCATAAAGCATTGGACTAAATCCAGATCACTTTGTGTCCTGACTTGTCATGACAAATATCCGGCTGTGAATTATCACGTGTTCAGGGGATGCATTCTGGCGGGCCTGGCCTCTGATGGTCCTTGAGAGCTCTCAGGCTCCAAGGGGACGCAGGCTTACGTTACCTCGGCCTTGGCCAAGGGCGTGAGAGCAGAGGACGTGGCTGACCCGACTACTAATTGGCCTGAAAACCAGCATAGTTAGGTACTTCTGAATTCTCAGTCTGAAGTATGGTAATAGGTTCCCTTGCCAGCCGATTCGTGAGGTCTAATACATAAAAATTACTTTCATTTAGAGTATGGTTTACTCAAGTACTTTTACTGAACACTCAGAGTTGATTTCTTAAATTGTGAACATCCTTTTAGATTTTGATTTGATGAAAAGTAGGCCGTGATCTTTTGCTGGGTACTTCACCTGGAGAGAGTTCCAAGTTGTCATAGTCATCAATCCCAATAAAATGTCTTTTCCTTGCAGGGTGAAAAGGAACAGCCTGTGTTTGCGATGACTGGCCTTCGGTGGGGATCCTTCCGAGATGCTGGCGTCCAAGTTAGCAAGTAAAGACTTAATCTGCACATGTGATGGTTCTTTTAAAAAACCTTTTTCTTCTGTTCCCCTTTGACGTGTCAGTATGCAGTGATCTTCTAGGAATAGAATTGGTAGGTCTGGAGTTTGACTGGCGCATGATTAATGGAGATGGAGGCCCATATCTCATGGCAGAAAGGCCAGGCTCTGGTCGCCCCCACACTAGTGTGGCAGCGGCTAAGGGGGAGAGGAGCATATCTCTGTTTCTAGGCAGATTGTTGGGGGCTCAGGCTAGACTGAAAGGCACCTTGATGGCCTGTCGCCACGCAACCTGCTTATCTGGGCATCCAGTGAAAGGCAGCACCGGGGATGCAGGCCGTGGCGCCGCGCTAGCCTGGGAAGGCGCTCTTCTGAAGGCCCGGCGGGCTCAGAGGCCCCGGCTGCCTCGCAGGGAGAGGAGAAGGCTGGGTGCTGGGCTGTGGCTGGAAGAAACAGGCCGGCCGGGGTGGCGATGGCAGGGCCATTGCTGGCTCCTCATGGGAATGGACTCATCTGTGGAGACACCTTGTGCAGCAGGAAGCCCGGGCTTGGCAGGGTGCGTCCTCCTGTGTTTGCTATGGGGAGGTCCTGTCAGCCACGGCCCCCCGGGAGGGACCAAAGGAGGCCCTGGGTGACGCTCCTTCCTCTGGGTGGGGGGGTGTTCATTTTTACCTTTTCTTAGAAGCGGGCTTACCGTTTTAGTACAGTTTAAGTGAACTATGAGCGATCTCACACGTAGCTTTTAGCAAGAATCCGCTCTCTCTCTTCCTAGGCCTTCCCGCCACAATTTCTTTAGACAAATTCCTCTAGCTGCTTCGCTCCATTATTCCTGCTGATGGCGTTCCTGACAGTGGAATGTCAAAAAAGAGATACTACTGTATTATTTTTATAGCTTGTTATCATTAATATTTTACATCATTTTATCTGCACATGTGCCAGGATTATCTTGATTCCACAAGTTACCTTGGGCTAGATCCGTAGTATCAAATAACGCCAGCAACCCACTGAGCGGAGTTGCGTAGTTTTCCCTGGAAAAGCTGGTTTGGACGAATCGCCTTTTAAAAGGTGCCGATCAACAGTCGAGCACAAGCACAGGTCAGCCCCCTTAGGGACATCTCGCACACTGGCCCGTATGTTGATTGACTTCTGAAGAATGAATTTTAAAATCCCAGTTATCTAATGCCTCCCCTGGGACAGTCCATGGAGTTTCTTCGTGTGTTACGGAGCAAACAGAGAGGCAAGAAGCGACTTCCTAGCTGACCGTCAGAAGGCAGCAAGCATCACGTCAAAATTCGCTCTTGGTAGAGGTGGCAGGAAGCGCGGGCAGTTTGGGAATGACGTGCCCTGGCCGGGGTACGTTTCTGTCTGGCTGTTGGGAAGCGAAGCCAGTCATGACGTTAGCTGGGAAGGAGTCAGATACCAAGGCCCTCATGAGAAGCATCACAGCATTAACCTGAACAATAATTAGGCCGGCCCCACACTGCTTGCTCCCTGGGTCGCCTCTAAACCCCTGGCTCTGGCATCCAAGGCCCCGCTGAACCCATCACCACCCCTGGCTGCACCGTTACCGTCCTTCCTTCTAAGCCTTCGCTCTGGCCGCCACCCTCAGTGGCCCCTGCACCTGGGCCGCTCCTCTTGCCTCGGATGAGCTCTTTCCCTCTGCCTGCATCTGAATCCAGGGCGCCGCTCTGAACTCCGTGCCCGCGATGCACGCGGGTGCCGCTCGTCGCGCAAGCACGGTCTTCCAGTGCTACGGGCTGTACCCTGGCCCTACGTGATTTCTCATCCGTTCTTGACCCTCCCTACCAATCAACTGATACGTTTATACTTTATCGTATATATTTATATAGTCCTTTACTGCTTTCTGTTACCTTTTTGGACCATATTTTACAAAGTGATAGCCCTCAAAGGCAGGAATTTTATACTCTCTTATTTCGTTTGCTAAATAAATGCATATTGATCAGAGCCAAGTAGGGAGCAATTAAGATGGGCTGGTTGGTGACATAAATTTTAAGAGAGGACTCTTTACTGCTCTTCCAATTCCGAGCAGGCATCTTTCTCTCTTCAGCAGCTTTTATGTGGTTAGCCGTATGAAGTAGACCCTGCATTCTCAGATTGTACATTTGCCATTTGAAAACTGCATAATGTGAGTAACGTGAAATCACACCGCTTTACAAAACTTTAATTGTACGTGGGTGTGAGAGAGAACGTTTAGCTTGCAGGTAGCACGTCGGGGTCAGCGCCCCGCCCCTCACTGTGGCTGTGCATTCTCCGCTCGGCGCCCTTGGAACGTGCACCCGAATGGGCACTCAGCTCTGCTCTGTGGCCGAGGTAGACATGACAGCGATGCTGATGAACTTAGAGATTTAGGGAGGCTGACGATCTGTCCCTTGTGAATTGCAAGGACCTGTCTGTGTGTAACTAACTACATGCTGTGTGACATGGCGTTGGAATGCAGATTGAAAACTGGCTGTAACTCTCTTACGCTGAACCCTGGTCCCCCAGCCTGCAGAGCAGGCGCTCTTCGTAGGGGCGTGGTTCCGGTGGCTCTTCCGTCAGGGCTGCTGTCTCTCTCATCGATCCTTCTGTTAATATTCTAATTAGATTTTTATCTTCCTCTTTCTCAGGTACTGGTATCTCGGGCCTCTAAAAACCAAAGCAGCTCACTTTTTCAGCACCCTGCAGGTAAATGCAATTTACAGCGTTGGAATGTTCCTGCGTCGTTTTGTTGTTGCTTCATGAAGTAAGGTTTGAGAAAATATGTTGAAAAAATGAAACTCTGTTGTTGCTCCATGAAGTCACCCCTCATGTACCAACTCATTCCCTGCGACACTAAGCCAGCGGTTCATTCCCTTTCAGTGTTCCTCTTCCCTCCGCCTGTTCATTCGCACAGCGGCCACACAGGCCTTGACCAGAGTGACCTATATCTCATCCAGTACTTGCACGTCTGTATCAGTATCTAGAAATGAATGGAAGATTTGTATTGGAATATCTCTTACCATGCAGGCTTGCACGTGACACAGTAGCTTTCAAACCGCGCCAGCCAAACTCAGGCAGCGGTCGCGGGGTTGGTCGGTGCAGATTCAGAACATTCCCACCACCAGGGAGGGTCCTGTCAGGCAGTGCTTGCTGCTACAGGCTGTACCCTGAGAAATGCTGGCCCAGAGGAAGCCTGAACAATGTATGTTAATGAAGATGCTAACGGGAGTCATCTTTATCTGTGGACTACATACTGTGTTTAGCTGTTATGCAAATCAAAGTAGTATATTCACAGCTTGGTCAGCCAATCTGAGAACTGGCTGATGAAGTTTGAATGAAGTGAAAAGTTTGGTTCTTGTGTTCAGATTGTCACATGGTTCTAATTATAAAAATAGTACATGTCCGTTGCAGAGCATTTGGAAAACATTGCTCCCTTACCTTCTAAATAAACTCCAGTTAGTAGAATGCATTATTTCTGTTGCTCAAGAGAATCATTTCTTTGGTGGAGTCATGCGTGTATTCAGGAAGAAATTGAGTAGCTGCATATTTAAGTTGTAGACCCTGGGAGAATCAGCCTGTTTCCCCCGTTTCTTCAGCCAACAGTCATGGGCTGGCTGGTGCGAGGCAAGCCTCGCTGGGAGGGAGGCGCGATGAGAGCAGCGCGGGGGGCCGGGGGCACAGAGAGGAGGCAGCCCCCTCGGGCTGGGCGTGCGCAGTCTCCACAGGGCAGGTGTCGCCATTGCTCAATTTTGAAGTATCCACAGGACCAGATAAAGGGGCCAGGATGCGTGGAGTTACAGTCGTGTGAACAGCCTGTCATTGCGGCGGTAGGTTGGCAGGAAGGGGACTTGGAAGGTTGAGTTGGGGCAGCGTATGGCCGGTGGGCTCTGACACGCCACTGTGAAAGCCCTGGGGGCGTCCTGCGTCTGAAGCAGGGAATGACGTCTGAAGCAGGGAATGACGTAGCAGGACTGCGTTGCAGATGTCGTTGGGCCGCAGTGTGGACAAGAGGCTGGCGTGGGCAGCTGAGGGAGGGGCACCGGAAGGTTGTTGAAGTAGTCTGGGGGACCGGTGGCGACGAGGCGACTAGGGTGGTGACAGCACCGACAGCAGAGGATGGATTAAAGAGATTCCGAGGCGGAGCCACGGAGGCCGGCAGGAGAGCCGGGCATTCCCAGGTCTCTGGGCGGAGGGGCTGCAGTGTGATAGCCAGACTTGCCCATGAATGTCGATAACGTTGGCGTCAAGTCAGGGTGGTGAATAAAGCTCAGCTTGGCAAAGGCTGAATTTAACATGTCCGTGGGACCGGCAGGCGGAGGTCTGGTCGTGACATTGGTCTGGAGTTCGGCAAAGACCCGGACTGAAGAACTAATCCAGATGTCTTAGTGTGGGGGTAGCATTGGAGCTGTGCCTTTGGTGCGGTACCATCGAGAGGGCAGAGGGCCGGGAACAGGCCTTCGGAACTTCAGCGTTTGCAGAAGCAGCCGGTGCCTGAGAGGTGCTAAGAGGCAGCTGAGGGGAGAGGACTGACAGAGAAGCCAGTGGAAGAGAGGGTCCCGGGCAGAGAGGGAGATTGCCGGAAGCACAGCAGAGTCAAACACAGGAGAGTAGCCGCTGAACCCGGCGCCTCGGAGGCCTGGCAAGCTGAGTGGAGAAGCTGGAGGAATAGATGGGAAGGGAAGAGTGGAGGCACCAAGGGCAGGCCACCGTGTCCAGAAACTCAACTTGGGGGGCGGTGGAGATGGAAAAGGCAAAAGTTAGTGAGGAAAATGGGGTTACAGGGGGGTCGGTCTTGCAATTGGAGAGAGAGCCATGTCTTTTTACCCTGAAGCAACAGAAGAAAAGCGACGAGATGAATGAAAGGAGAGAAAAGGCGTGCCTGGGTCGGCAAAATCCATGAGCGAGTGGATGGGTGTCGGATCGAAAGACCTGGGCAGCCGCAGGCGGGGGAGGGGCACTTTCTCCCTGAGCCGGGAGCAGAAGGAGTGAGCGGCGGGGTGCAGCCAAACTCGGGGTGCAGCCAAACTTGGGAGCATGAAGGTGGTTCTCACGGAGGTGCTGGACCAGGCACAGGATGCAAAGTGACCTGCTGAAAATGAGGTGACGGCGGTGGTGTGGGGACTTTGAAGGAAGATGAAAACAGGGAGTTTTAGAAGGATTCTCGAGTGGCATTGAGGACCTGAGACCAGGATCCTGCGGTGACATGGGTGTGCGTGCTAGGGGGACCGCTTTTTCCGTGGCAGCACGCAGCAGGCGTGGTTGCCTCCTTCCGGGGATACCGAGCCAGGCAGTGGGGCACAGAAACGTCGTGACAGAGTGGATCCAGCCGGGGGGCTGGTCCGGCACGTAGTCTGGAAGACGGAAGACACGAGGGGCCGGGAGGGGTGGGAAGGAGCCCGATTTAGGGTAGTTAGCTGCTAATTCGGCACGGAGGGAAACGGTGGGGCCAGGACTGGATTGCTCAGTGCAGTAGAAACCTTCTGAGTTTGTACCCAGTTACGAAAACAAATGCAGGAACAGGCAGATGGAGATCAAAACATCAGCTTTAAAACATTAGCAGGGGTGAAGGACACCGCTTAGATACGTGGTCACAATCTGGTGCCCCAGATTAGATTAATCTACGTAAATCACCTCCTTCAGGGCAGAGGCCGCCGCAGCAGGCCGGCCACGTGAGGAGGCGCCCTATGTGAGTCCGAGGAGGGTGCTGGGTCCGGGCCTGGCCCTCTGGGCCTGGGGCCGGGCGCAGGGCGGAGCGAGAAGTGCCAGAGAGTTGCTCCTCTGTAAGGAAATAAGGGCATGAGTTTGCCCTGAGAGACACACTGGCCACCAATCGATTGGGATACATAGAATGCAGGATGTGATGTCCGAGACGGACTCGTTTGGGGTGGCAGGGAGGCCCAGGGTGTGGCCATGGACACGAGTGGCTGCATGCATCAGAGGTGACCTCGAGGGCCGGAAGGCAAGGCTGTTCTAATTATTCCTGTGGACACTGTTGAGACCCAGGGTGACACTGGACTTGGGGTGCCAGGTGGGGGAAGGCAAACGTCTAGAGCGCGAGGACCTGGATCTTTGAAGCAGCCCTGAGAGGCCCTTGGGGGGTCCAAGGCTCGGCAAGGCCTCCCTGCCTCCGTGGGGAACGGGCTTCCACAAGGGAGCAAGGTATTGGATGCAACTGGATATCGTCAATTCCTTTTTTGTGCCGCCGTCCATTTGCCAATGATAAATTTATCACGGGGGGAATCCTGTTCCCCTTTGCATCAGGGTTCTTTGGACGAGTAAAAGCCACAGTGGTTAGTCCACGCGGATCTCCTCTGCCCCTGCCTTGCGGACACCGGTGGAGGCGGCAGCCCCTGGGTGCATGGTTTTCGGGATGGACCCTTAAGAGGAAACGAAAGCGTGAGGATTCCACACTCCACGTTAGAGATAGTGCCACCCAGTGAGAGGCCAGGTGGCGCTCTAGCAGGTATAGGTGGACACTGACTGACCTTTGCATAGGGAAACTCCCAGAGTTTGGAACTGTGCGTTCATGACAGATGTTTTTCTCTCTTCACTTTAAAAGGAGTGGCCTCAGACTCATCAAGCCTCCCTCTCGTACACGGGCCCTAAAGTGAGACCCCCCAGTGTCGCCGACGAGACCCCTCCACGGCCCTCTCTGTACAGGAGGATCCTGCGGCGGCTGGCGGCGTACTGGGCCCAGCCGGCGGACGGTGAGAGCGGGCCGGTGGGAGGCGGGGTGCCGGCCGGCCGGGACCGCCCAGAGCAGACCCCCGAAGCTGTGTCAGACCTCCCTAGGGCAGAGGCATTTTGGGGACCGCTGAAGTCAGCTGCCCATGTGCCACCGCGCACAACCCAGCACAGTGTCCCATGGTTATGAACACCCGTGTCATTTAAGACAAACAGTAGCCCCCTCTTTCTGTCACCGACCTTTCTGTATTGCTGGCTGCACTGGTAGGGTGTTTCAGGCATAGAGAGCCCATTCGGAGCTGGCCATTTACATTTCTATCCTGTGTGTGAGAAGTGTGTGGAGAAGAGAAAGGTGGCGCGGGGGCGGGGCTGGGCAGCTGGCTGCGGGGGCGGGGGCGGGGGCAGGGGCAGGGGCGGCCGGGTGCCAAGGGCACGGTGTTCCTGGGAGAGACCGACCTGCGTCTACTGCCTTCACACAGCCCGCTCCCAGGAGGGGAGCCCCGAGGTCTGGAGAGACGTGCAGCTGTCCACCATTGAACTGTCCATCACGACGCGGAACAGCCAGCTTGACCTGACTGTAAGTGTGCTCTCTGATCAGGAACGTGTTTGGTATCGGGGAAGTGACAAAGGCGGCCTGCTCTTCCACTAATTCAGTATTTTTATTTTTGCCCTGTGGGGTAGCCAGGAAGGGATCGGGGAAAGAGGATGTGGTGGGCCTTTAGGGGTAACAGCCACGAGAAGAACTAGCAGAGCGAAGTAGAGGCCCAGAATCCTGAGGGGTTTGGCCAGGATCCTGGGCCTTGTAGAGGGGCGGGGGGTTGGGGGGACCGCTGGGTGCAGAAGGCCTCTAGGGATGAACAGTTGGCCTACTCTCATTTCTCACGGGAATGAAAGACCGTGGAACTTTTACTTGAGTAAACATCCATTATTTTTGTGACTACATTAAATATGTAGGTTTAGGTCCCCAGGAGAAAACACTGTATATGTTTTTATGTATATGTATACATACACACCTATATGTTTACATATTTGAGTCCAGTCTATTGATATACACTGTCCAATATGATAGCCACTAGCCACACGTGGCAATTTGAGCTTAAATTAATTAGAATTAAATAAAGTTGAAAGCTCATTTCTTAAGTCACAATAACTACATACCAAGTGCCCAGTAGTTGTGTGTGGCTTGTAGCTACCATATCAGAAAGCACAGACCGAAAACATCCACATTTCAGGAGGCTCTGCCTTCTGAAGGGAAAAGGTTCTACCAGGTGGAGCTGCTACAGATGATACACTAACATGGTGAAACAGAGCAGATGTTGGCGAGAATTGATTTTACATTTTTAAATGGTTGGAAGAAAATAAAATAATTTGTGATACATGAAAAATATTGTATGAAATTCAAGTTCAATACCTATAAATAAAGCTTGATCAGAACACAGCCGTGTTCAGGCACGTACGTGTTGCCTGGCCACTTCACGCTGTGGTGGCAGAGCTGAGTGGTTGTGGCAGAGAGTGTCTGGCCCCAGAGCCTCCAGCATGTTACTGTCTGGCCACTCACAGAAAGTCCGCTGACCCCTTGTCTAGAGAAAACTTCAGTAGTTTATATGAGTGAGAATGCCAATAGAAAAGTTACCATTAACTCTGGACTCCTCATTTTAATCAGGTTTTATGCAAATCAGGGTAGTATGTTCACGGTTGACCTGGTCGTTCTGAAAATTGGCACATGGAATTGGCCGCAGTGATGAGCGTGTGAGTGGGTCACGATCAGTGAGTGAAGTGAACACACCGCAAATTTTGATTCCAAGATTACTAGAGCATTGCGCCGTTTTCTAATTATAAAAGAAGTGCATGTTCATTGTGTAATAGAGCTCCTTTTACCTTCTAAATTAATTCCAGTTAGATTAAGAATTAAATGTAAAAAAAATAGAACCACTAAAGCCCTAGAGTGAAATCTAAGGAATATCAATAGAAACCTGGGGAGGGAACCTAAGGCAAAAGTCGTATCTGGATGCATTTGTGTACGTATAATTACAAAAGAAACTATAGACAAGATTTTTAATGACAAATTGGGAGAAATAATCTATAGAAATGCAACAAACTGGGATTTAATAGCTTTCCTTTATACCAAACTCCTCAGGATAAATCAATAAGAAATGGGCAGCCCTGGCTAGTGTGGCTCAGTAGATTGAGTGCCAGCCTATGAACTGAAAGGTCGCCGCGGTTCGATTCCCAGTCAGGGCACATGCCTGGGTTGCAGGGTAAGGCCCCCAGCTGGGGTCATGCAAGAGGCAACTAATCGATGTTTCTATCACACATTGATGTTTCTCTTCCCACATTGATGTTTCTCTTCCTCTCTTTCTCCTTCCCTTCCTTCTCTCTCAAAATAAAGGAAAAAAAAAAAAGAAATGGGCAAAGAGCTAATATAAACAACAGGCAAAGGGCAAGAATAGAAATTCAGAAAAGAAATAAAAATGAAAAAAATAGCTTATATATACTGAATATATACTACATATTACGCACTAAGAATTTTACTCAGGTTAACGTTTATGTCTACATTATTAGGCAGATAGAACACTTTTACCTGTGTTTATAGGTAAGGAAACAAAAAGTGCTCAACATGAAAGAAACGCAAATTGAAACAGGAACTATTGAACTGTCACAGATCAAAAAGTGCTGGCGTAGGCGGGGAAGCGGACTGGCCTCCGCGTTCCTGATGGTCTAGAAATCAGATCGCCCTTTCTCAATGGCATCCTGGCTGTTTATATGAAGCACCGAAAATAGAATCATACCCTGGGGCCTATTAAGTATATTTCTAGAATGTATCCTGTAGAAATCACTGGATTAATACATAGTGTAGTCAGTCCCTTATTTCTTATATCATGGAATTCTGGAAACACTGGTGCAAGTGACTGTATTAAGGTTACAAAAAACAAATTCTGCTCTAGAGGAATTTTTAAAAGATAAGATTTCTAATTATACACTTCCTGTTGACCCGACCTCTGATAATATGTATTTCCAGTGCTTTGTTCGTGCTCTAGAACACTGTTCTGTTCTCTGGTGACTGAATACCAGTGAACGACCGCGCTCAGCGTGTATGTGGCTCTGGCTCGGGATGGGCCACGTGCACCAGGCGCAGAGCTGTCGGCTTTGTGCCCGCTCTGGGGCCTGTGCTGTGTGCTGCTCAGCGCCAGTGGTAGCACACTCAGTTTCTTTTTTCCACACCTCTTTGTTAAAGCGAAAGTGCAATAAAATATTCAAAGACGATGATGATGCCAAGTAATAGCTCAAAATGTTTGCTTATCATTTGAAGCACAGGCAGAATCTCAAAGAGGCGTTAGAGGCATGGAATGTGTGAAGATTAGGCTCTAGTGCAGCCGCATACACTGTATTGACAGCGGCAACACACAAGAAACGAGCTAATCAGGGGACTGAGTCAGTACATTTTGGTACCTTCATCTAAAACGTTCTCTCTATAGTCACAGACATGGAAAGACGATCATCATGTGTTGCTAAATGGAAAACCAGGTTAAAATGATTTGCCTCAAATGAATTCATTTTATTTTAAAAAGAAGTACTTCTACCTGTCATTGAGTTTTGTGAATGGTAGAGGTAAGGCCCCAATTTTAATTCTTTCCATAGAGAAGGCTGGTTGTCCAAGTGCCACGTATTGAAGTGGTCACCACCGCCCCGCCCCACGCTGACCGCAAAACCTGCCAGAAATCGCGTCCCTGCGCGTGTAGGGACGTCTGCAGTTCCTCTGTTCAATGGGCCCGCTTTTCTGTGGTTGTACTAGTTCTGTGCTTCTCTTAATTATCATTGTTTTATAAGTCTATTTTTTATTTTTAAAGAGCCTCTTGGCTACTCTTGAGTCTTGGACCTCTATAAATCTCTTGGAATGTTTATCTTATTAAGTTCCACATAAAAATCTGTTACATTGACCAGAATGATGTTGAACCTGTAGATCAATTTGAGGGGAAATGACATTTCTACAACATTGACTCTCCTGTCAAATGAACGCGGCACAGCGCTATATTTATTTAGATTTTTTAATATCTTTCAATGAAGTTTTATAGTTTTCTCTATAACATTTTGTCTTTTGCTGCATATATATGCCTGGTTATCGTAATTTTTCATGTTACTGTAAATAGTATCTCCTAAAACTTCATTTTTTAACTGCCTGATTTAGTAGAACATGCAACTGATTTTTTTATATTGATGCTGAATCAACAAACTAAATTCTTATTAATTATATTAAGTTTATGCCTCCCTTTGGATTTTCTATTGATTCAGTTGTATCGACTGCAAATAGTGCAAGTTTTGTTCTTTCCTTTCAAATACTTAGCTTTCTAATCTGTCATCGTACCTTACCTACCACATTGGCTGGGCCCTCCGAGGGAAGCATTACTGTCTTACTCTTGATGTGGAGAGAAAGCTTTCATTGCTTCATTCTTGAGTTTGATGGCGTTTTTTTGTAGCTACCTTTATAAGATTAAGGAAGTTCCCTTCTATCCTAGTTTGCTAAGAGTTTATCATGAGTGGATATTTGATTTTACCAGGTACCTTCCCAGCATCTGTTGAGATAAGGTTTTCTCATTTAGTCTGTCAATGAGTACAACTTACTGATTTTTGCACTTGCACTATTTGCCAAAGACACATCCTAGACTTTTGCGTACAGCTCCCCACTCACTCTCTTGGTTTCCTATGCAGCCTCAGCGTGTCCAGAACGGAGCTCCTGAGGGCGCCCCGTGACACCTGCTTTACCCACTCTCCCCCCTGCGGTTGGTCGTAATTCCCGCCTTTCACTTGCTCAGGCCTCCGGGAGCTGCTCTTGGCTGCTTTCTCCGCGTCCAACCTTTGAGGAAGTCCTGGTGGCTTCGTCCTTTAAATACTGCCAGTGCTTCACCGGGTCTCCACCGCTACCCAATGCGAGTCGTACAAAGGGTTCCTGCCTGGTCTCCCCGCTTCCCCTTCCCCTTTCTATTCTACTCTAAGTGCAGTAGGCCGAGAGGCCCTGTTCAAATGAGGCCAGATCTCCTCGCTCTGGCTCTGCTGGGACCTTACGGGCGGCTCCCATTTCACTCAGCCTCGCAGCCACGCTCCAAGGCCCTGCCGCGCGCTCTCCTGTCTCCTCTGGCTCCCGCCGTTGTCTCAGTTGGCAGGCACACATCCACTCCCCCCACCCCCGTGCAGCTCGCTCTCCTCGAGACCACCCGTTCTCCAAGTGTGCGCCTTAGATCGGCAACAGCAGCCTCACTGGGGAACTTTTTATTAGAAACAAAAATTATCGGGCCTCCCCAGATCCACTGAACTATGGACAAGAACGGAGCCAGAGTCTGAGATTCAGTAGCCCTCCAAGTGGTGCCTGGGGGGGTTGGGGAGCCCTGCCCCGGACGCCCGCGCTGCCAACTCCCTCCGTCCCCTCCTTCGGGTGTCCGCTCAGAGGCTGCCTTCCCAACGCGGCCCACCTGGGCTCCGCCCTAAAAACATCACCGATGCCACCTGTGTCCTTGACCTAGTCTTTTTCCCTCTGATTTTTCTGATAGACTCTAATATACTTGTTTTCTAATGTACTCTGTAATTTACCCTTTATGCTATATATATTCATTCCATAATGAATCATTCAATTTGCTATTTTTATCCTGATACTCTAACATACTTCTAATATTCTTTTTTTTTTTTTTAGTGTGATTGTTGTTTTGTTTTGCTTTTTCTCCCCTCAGTCTACCCGGGAGAATGTAAGTTCTTTGGAGGCAGGCATTGTTGGGTTATTGGCTCACTGACGTAGCCCAAGTGCTTGGAGGAGTGCACTTGAGAAGTCGGTGTTACATAAAAGATGCACTCAGAGCCCAGTCCCCTCCTCTGTGCGCCCCGCTCCCGGCGACAGGGAGAGCCATGCCGGTCTGCCCTGTGCTCCTCGGCAGCCTCGGGAGCCTGGGGGGCGTTCCCCCTGCGCACAGAGGACCAGACCTCTGCCTGAAGCAGAGCCAGACAGCGGCCCGGGCTGGGACTGCAGGGGCTGGGCCTGTGTTGCCAGCCCCCAGCGGGTGGTAAATCGGGGGAGCAGTAGGTATTAGAACTAAGTCTGATGTTGTAGCCACTTCCTTGTTGCTCCAGTCTCTCGAAGCCTCCTGTGGCTGGGAACGGAAAGTGCTTAAAACAGTACCACGTCATAATGGCCTGCTTCGCCTAAGCTCTGGCTGCACACTAGGTCTGCATGTACAGCTCTTTAAAAAAAGATCCTTGCGCCTGCACACCAGGAATCCGCTGTGGCAGGTGTGCTGTGATGCTGACGCACAGCAAGGCTTGCTGGGGTAGCAGGGCGGAGAGCCTGGCCCCAGGCAGCAGGGGGCGCTCCTGGGGACTCCAGCAGCCTTGTTGATTAATGACAGAACTTCACAAGCTCCCCGCTCTGAGCTTTGACACACCTCCAGACCTGAGTTTTACTTACCTTATATATACAGTAAAAACAAACAATGGAGATGAGTTTTATAGTATATAAGTTACACCTCAATAAAAATCTTAATGTGAAAAGAAAAAAAAATAAGGATTAAGTCACTAAAAGCCACTGGATAATACACAGCTTCAAAACACGAACCTCAGGGGCTGGAGGAGGACAGCAGGCCACTAGCCCAAATTGAGTGTTGACGTTCACCTTCCTACCTTTTAGAGCACGGAAGACTTTATGAACATCTGCATTGAACCCGAGAGTGTGAGCAAAGGAGACTTCATAACGATAGGGTAAGTGATGGAGACCTCGTAACGGCAGGGCGAGTGGACCGGGGTTTGGAGGAAATGAGGCGAAGTCGTTTGCGTTGTGTTGTGCTGTATCGTGTTGTGCTCAGAGTGCCCGTGGAGTCAGAGAGACCCAGCGGAGGACGCGTCTGGTTTGGGGAGCAGGGCGTTCTGTGTTTCATTTGGGTTCACGTGGCCAGTGCTCCTTTCCCCCGCTGGCCTTCCCTGTTCGTTTCGGGAAGATCAGAGGCTGGGAGCAGCCTTTGCCTTTCTGCTGAAAGAATTCAGCACCACATGGCATCCTGTCTGGAATTTTAGCTTCAGGGTCAGAATTGCTGGATTCTACCACGTTCTGGCCTCATGTTTTGGACAAATCCCTGGTTCTCTGCATCTGTTTCCCTGTGGGTGGACTAGAGTGATAGAATCACCTCTGACTGTGTCAGGATTGTTTTTAAGTCTCAGAAGAGTGACCGTTGAGGGGAAAGGCCATTTTCATTGTGACCTACTTCACAAGTGTCGGTTACTGTTGGTCAGTCCACCTTGTCCTCTTCTCAGGGTGTGAATGAAAAACCTGAAAAGAGGTTGAGTCCTTGGGACGTTTTCCAGGTTTCCTTTTTCCACCACAAAGCACCCTTCCAGGTCCCGTCTGATTTGTTAAACCCTGCCTCTGCCAGAGTTTTATTGGTTAAGAATGCTCTAGGCCCTCCCTAGTCTTCAAAGCATCGAGGACCGCCTGTTACCATGGCGACTGGTAGTCTGTGTGGCTGTGTTCTGTGCTCTGGCTCAGAGCTCCCCCTCGCGCCCACTGAAGGGTTAAACATCTTTGCGGGGGTGGGGCGGGTCTCCATGGCAACTTCATTGTCTGCTCCAGGACCTTCATTACACGGTCTTTCATGAGTTTGTGGTGTTTGCCTGGGTACAAATTCTTCACATGCTGAATAGCTGCTTCTGCAGCCATTGGTTTATTTGCTCTGCCTGTAGTAAAAGAAAGGGGAAACATGTCCCTTCTTCTACAGCGTGTGCAGAAGCCATGCAGTGTCTTAATCTGACCAGGGGGGCCAACTGTATCCAAATCTCCTTCATAATACTGACATCCAAAAATAGAAAGAAAACCCGATCATGATGCTTAAGTGAAGTCATTATGTTCCTTGTCATTGCGCGCCTCGGCAGCAATAACGCGGTCTCCACAGGAAGGGAAATCAGGTAGTGTCTGTTTCCTCTGGGTGTCTGAATAGGACACTGTGAAGTTGCTCTAGAAAACTGATGAAGTTTCATTGACGAAGAATTACTGTTGTCAGTCAATGAAAAAGAATGGGCTAATTTGCTTGGGTTAGCTTTTGCTCTTTCTCTACTTCCTGTGACTAGCTATGAGGGGCGGGCTGTGCGTGGCTAGTTCTAATAATTCTACGCCAGCGCCATTTAGTGAAGGTAAACATGTCCCGCGCCAAGTAGGCTGCCGCTGTAGAGGATCAGCAGGGAACTCAGCATGATGCTGGTGGTCCATGTATTAAAAAAAAATGCCTGTGCCTTAAGTTGAAATAAAAAGTCTCTCCTTCAAGAAGTGACTTGCTCACAAGAACTACCAAATAACAGAAGTTTAGTTCTTTTCCTAAAGGATTTACTTTCATTTTAATTTTTAAATTTGGGGTCTTTAAAAGCCCAGGACTTGGGTATGTGTGGACCATTTAAAGTCAGGCGGTCTTAACTTCAGGCACGGCTCCCGACAGCGAGTAAGCCCCCACCTCCGGCGTACGCCGCAGCGCTAATAAGCAGGTGTCCTCGGGGCAGCGTTGCTCACAGGACCCACGGCGATCAGTGGGTCGTGAGCCCTCTGCTTAGTCTCATCAAAACCAGAAAGGACATGCCAGTTCTTGCAGCCCAGTGCAGCCGCCCGCGCTGGTTTCCAAACGTGCTTTCCGTCCACTGACAGAAGCAAGAAGGTGCGAGACCCCACGCTGCGCGCCGAGGGCACCGCGTGTCTGCAGGCCAGCCAGTGCGCCCTGCGCCTCCCTGAGGTAAGTGGGTGGCGCGCTCCGGGCCTCTCTAGTAATGGCCTCATTCAGGCACCTACGGCTGCTGAGCACATTGCCAGCCTCGGGGCCGTAGAAGGCAGACCTGGGAGATCACAGGCTCTGGTGTTTTTAAGCCAAGGTTCTCTAACGTGTGATCCTGGGTCTCCGGAGCTCCCCCACCCCAGACGGAAATTATGCAGAGTCACTGTATTATCACACAGAAAATTCTCAAATGGTAACAGTGGATTCTCCCTTTGCACCTGTTACGAAAGATCCAGAAGCAGTTTTCGGAATGGTGCTAAATTTTTCTGTACCACCAAACGCCACGCCTAGAAGAATAACCTATGTACGTAGAAAAAGTTGGAAGTACCACCTCAGCCGTAAGGTTAGTTTTCTATTCGCAATATCCGAGGAACATATTTAACCACAGATCGCCTCTGCACACTTCCGGTCACTGTGCCCCCGCGTGGGTGGCAGCGGAGTCGTGGCATGGGCACGTCGCATTAAAGCCACGAGTTTATTTATAGACTCTGCAGCGATGCTCGCTCTACCTGCCGTGTAGAGCTGTGCAAGCCCCAAAGAGCCACCCTGGGGCCAGTCGCGCGGCCCTCTCGGCTTTCCTAAGAGAGTGTGCGGTCTTCCTCACTGGGAGAGACCAGCGGGGGCAGAGGAGGACCCGTGACATATGGTGTTCACGGACTCCTTCCCCTGTCTGGACCCCTGTCTTTTAATGTGTGTATTTAAACATGATAACCTTGCCTCTCCTGTGCCAAAATACTCAGGTAGGAGATAGAGACCAAAAACATAATAAAACCTTTTTCATGGATGGGAGGTTTCCAGCACCAGCACTGAAACAGCGTCTTAAGTGAACGGAGATGCGGGCCTCCGGAGGGTGGGTGGCCGTCTGAACGCTGCCTTCTCCGCAGGGCTCGGGGGGCTCCTTCAGCATCGACAGCGAGGAGTACGAGGCGATGCCCGTGGAGGTGAAACTTCTGCCCCGGAAACTTCACTTCTTCTGTGACCCCCGGAGGAGGGAGCAGCTGCTGCCGAGCGCGGCTCAGTGAGCGCCTGGGGCCGCGCACCCCGAGGCCGCGCTCGAGGCCACCCGTGGGACCAAAGGGAACAGACGCCACACCGCCCTGTCCCCGCAGGGCACCCGCTTCCCGTCCGCGCATGCTTTGACTTCTGTGTGACAGTTGCCCCTCCTCAGGCCAGTTCTAGGACATCCTCGCACCCAGCAGCTGGGGAAGGGCTAGACCTTGTCGTCTCCCCCACACGCAGCCACAGGGGCAAGCAGGGTCCTAGCCCCGCTCCTCTGTCCCTGTCTGTCCAGCGGCCGGCCTGCCACCGTGCCCTGGCTCTGGGCCCCCCCCCCCCCCCGGCAGCTGCTGCCCGGGGGGCTCTGCTTCTCACTTGGCTTGTTTCAGTTTGAGCCTCCATCCAAAAACGTGGGTGAGGTGTTCCCCTCTTCATCCATGGCTGAAATACTGTAAAATACTAGTTTTTTTAAGTAGTGGTTCTTAAATGTGGGTGTGCATGTTGAACTGTCTGGCGTGCCTGTCGAAAACTGAGACTCGGGGTCCAACCCAAACCTAAATAGCTCAGTCCAGGTGGGGCCCAGGTATCTGCATTCTCTCTAGACAGCAGCCACCGCCACCACCCCCACCCCGCCGATGAGTCTACCCCAGGCGGCCCCCCACCGTCCCCGGACAAGCGTTGTACAACAGTGGCCTTCCTCGAAGTCTTCTGAAAAACCCTGCACCCCATCCCGCTTTTAAGTTGACATCTGAAATTTTTCATGGGAGGTTAGACTTGCCAAAGTATGTACTTTCTGCTGTCCTGTAAATATTGATATTTTAAAATAAAAACTGTTATTTCACTATTTTACACATATTCAGTGTAATTTAAATACACAGCAATTTGACAGTCATCGCCCATTTACAAAAAAATAAACGACCAAGTTCTTTAGGAGTTGAAGGTTTTAAATTGACTTTTCTCCTTGTATGTGTCCATACTGCCCTCGCCAAGAATGCTATCGCAGTTCAATCTGTTTTCATGCTTAAAACTTTTTAGTTCTCTATTAAGTATCGAATGTTATAATAGTATTTTCATCAATTGTATATCAATAAGACTTTGATAATTAAAAGTTAACTAATTGTATTAGAATGTTCTTTATCCTAATTAGTTCATTATTGCAACACATAAATGCTGTTTACAGCTAAGATGAAAGAGGACTCAGCGTCCCCCTCCTTGTTCCACCTTTGGCAGTTGTGGCACATAACTGGACGCCATGGAAAGAATTCTCTCACCACAGTGTCTGTGGCTCTTTGGGCGCCTTTGGAGTCACAGCTCAAAAATCACAGTGACGTCATCAGAAACTATTACTAACGGTCTAGCAACACCTTGGTTATGTTTTCCTTCAGGTTGTTGAAGGTGGAGAGCTAGAAGCTGCCTGCTCTGCCAGCCAGCCATTGTCACCATTTGCTTGTAACCCCACCACCGCCACGTGCCTTTGTTCAGGGCCCCTGAGGCTTTCTGCTCTGGAGGCCGAGCCCCGCAGTGAGGTGGACGAGCCAGGCGCCTGCCTTTTATAAAGGAAACGGGACAGTGCGAGGGGACCGGCAGGCCTCAGCGCCAGGCTCGGCCGGGCAGCTTGGTCCCAGGAGGGTGTGTGCGGGCATGCCCACGGGCCCCTTGCAGCGTGCACACCAGCGCTCGCGGCCACAGAGCAACTACGCAGAGCCCACAGGTGAGGAGCACAAAAGCCGGGCTTACCTGTGTCTCCTTCCGGGAGGTGCTGGAGGCCGTGCTTCTGCCGAAGGAAAGGGAACAGGCGGCGAGCATGCGGCGTGGGGCTCACCCGTTCCCCGCTGCGCACAGAGGGGCAGGAGAGGCTGCGGTCTGGGGGGGCAGTTCCCGCGTCAGCCAAGAGAAGTTAGCACATCTGGAGTCTAGAACAAAGTATAAAGGACCAACCAGCCCAGAATCTGGTCGCCTCGATAGGATACTAGCACATGTCTGTGTGATTCTAATCCTTCCATTGAAATAATGGAACATAGCATTGGGAAGGATATTTCACCCAGATCAGCATTCTGACTCATTTTAAACATACATATGCTCTGGTTCAAATTGTTTTCCTGATTCAAACTGTCTCCTGTGAGACTATGGTTTGCTTATCATTTGCTGCCCTGCCCTTCTGCATCACGTCGCATGAAGGCCGTTTCCAGCGCAGCCAGGAGCAGGCACCCCTGCGGCCAGACCCGGGGTGGGAGGTGCCCCAGACCGAGGTCCCACCCCCTGCGGAGTACAAACCTCCTGTCCCGCGAACTTAGCTGAAAATGTTTCTCTTAAAAAGTAGATGTTTTCCATTAAAACGTTTAATAGCCTTTTCCCTCACCCATGGCCAATTTGCATGCATGGTTATTACTGCGTGTCCAGTGCTTTGTACAAGCAACTGATTCCGCCCGTTCTAACCACCCTGAGAAGCAGGTCTGTCGCAGCGGTCGTATAGCCTAGTAAGTAGGAGCCTGACTGAACACGTCGCAACAATCTTAGCAATTTGCTGCCTGAAAATAAGGCTAAAAATAAAATGAAACTTCAGTGTGTACATACAAACACAAATGATATATATATGTCAATTGTACGTATACAAAATATAGTACATTGTCTCACAGTGACCGCTGGTGGGAAGCGCCGTGAAGCGGAAGGGCTCAGTCCCTGCAGGGTCCTTTCCCGGAAGCCGTCCGACAGCACGGAGGGCGGGCAGTCCTGGCCTTCTGGTGGCGCGGTTCTCCCCAGCCTCGGCTCCCAGGAGCTGGAGCGCGTCGGCCGAGACCCCGGCCTCCAGAGGACGGGTGCTGGCCGCGCTCGGCGTCCTCCACGGGCACGGGCACAGGGACGGGGACGGGGACAGGGGCAGCGTGCCGCCTGCAGGCTTGGCTCCGTCGCTCCTTCCTACTGCAAACCTCGCTTCTCGGACGAGGCGAAGGACTGCAGCACACGTGTTCGTGTTAAAATGTGAATTTTAATTGTAAAAATTGTCTGTAAATATAGTTATATCCACCTCTCTGCACACAACTTGGTTCGGGTATATACAGATGAGATATACACAGATGGTGCTTGTACCACAGAACAGAATCACTTCAAGAACGTTTACTCTGACATTCAGAACCACCCCGGCGTTCCTCAGACCTTTAGAACGACCACCATTGAAAGCAGAGCAGGACTAACACACCTGTAAGCACTGGTACTCGGGGTAGAATTTATCAACTGCCACTGATTCCATAGTGTGAGGTAAAGACTTGAAACAAAAACAGATTCCGTTTCTTTTATTGCTCTGTCACGCCAGGGCACCAATCAGAGAGGCTCGGCATTTAAGGCGGTGGGGAAGCCAGGTTTTTCCCAGACCTACGAAAAGCTTAGCCAGCACGCTTGGGGTAAATAAGGAAGTTAATTCTGTGTTCCTGTACCCGGGCCCCCAGCGTCCCCTCCTACCCTGTCTGTCCGCGCCCAGGGCCTCCACCTCCCCTCGCTGCCATCTGCGTGGGCTCCGGGCTCGCTAGGACTCCCTGGCACCACCTTTAAGAGTTTTTTATACTTTTATCGTTGCTTAATGTGCCCAGAGGAAGTTTTCATTCTCATGTGAAAAAAAATGAACTGCCAGCTAACACAGCGACCTCTGTGTAGACTTTTCATTCTTCAGATCCTCTCCGGCCAATTTATAACGCCCTACCCCCGACCCCTGCGTCCCCCGCATCCCTAACTGTCCTCAGAAAGCGAGTAAACGGATCCTTAGTCTAGGTGGGCGTTCTACAGCAAACACGTGATCCCATGTACCTCCTGCTACAGCGATTAAGTCAATTTTCTGAATTTAGATCCTATTACCTCTGAAAGGCCATGCTATGCTGAGCTTCTAGAATAAACTAAAGAAATGAAAGCAGAGCTTCTCCATTATTATTCATATATTCAGTAGCGCTAGAAAGTCCTGATTTCCTTTCTGAACGTGCAGCTTCATCCAACCGCCTCTCTTCCAACTCCAAAAGTGAACGAAAGTGCTAGTTATAAAACTATTTCCCACATTTACCCCCTTTTTGTATGAGAGTCTTACCTAAGGTTGGGGACTACATGTCATCCTCCCTAGGAGTGTCAGGTTTGTCTCCTGAAGAATCACAGTCTCTATTCACTCTCCGAAACACTGAAGTCATAACACTTTTATGGGGTCTCAGTGTCTTCCAAATTCTAAAACTGCCCATTTCTCCTAAAATTACAGCTTAGAGATGTCTTTCCACTTCAACATCTGCAAACTCATGTCATCACACTAATAATGATACAAAAATAAACTTCCATTTCTCATAAGAAAAACACGAACTTAATTCACAGTTAGCCTTTCCCCCTAACATTCCACGCTCCAACAGCTCCTGGGAACAGAGGTATATTAGTAACACAAATGGAACATTAGAAGTCCATCACCTGGGAGTAAAAGGAGCCCGCCACTCCTTGTCGTCCCCTCCCTGAATCAGAAAAGGGCTTTCCCGGAAGCCTCTGGTCCGCAGGGCCCTCGCCCAGCGGGACACTGGAGGGAGCAGAGAAGGGCAGGGGGGAGCCATGGCCTGGACCTTCCTCCAACTCCCAGCCCCCTCGCGAGGAACCCCACAGGGAGATAGAGCTGGGCGCGCGGCGTCCCCGGTCCCCGGTCCGGGGGTGAGCCTCCCTGCTCTCTCAGAGCCGTCATCACGCTCAGGCAAGTTCACGGTCAGAATGCAGCCTTCTGGTTTCACCCCCTCCCTCACCTCTGCGAGGAGGCGCTGCCCCGGGCCTGGAGAAAGCATCTCATCCGGTCCCTGGGCTATGTAGTTTCATCAAAAAAACAAAAACAAAAACAAAAACAATGGTCCCTGAGGTCCCAGCCTCTACCTGGAGGGTTCCTGTACTTCCGTTAAAAGGTTAATTCATTACTGCCCTTTGCAGAAGGTTCCCTAAAGGCCTCAGTTTAAAGGTGAATTATCTCACATTTTTATTGTATTTGAAGGGCTTTCAGTGTATCAAGACAAATAGCCAGTTCGTCCTCATCGCCACCAGGAGGAAAAGCAGTTGTTCGGCCATGATTTAATTGATCTTTACCTTCTAGCTGAAAGATCGCAGGTCGTTACACCGATAAATGAATCCTACCACGTCGTATTTAGAATTACCTGCGCCGGTGCTACACTTCAATTTCCCATCTTGACTCTCCTGTGAAAGGAAACAAGGCTAAGGTACAGATGCAAATTCCTATGCTCAGTTACTTCCACCAGTACTCGGGTGGATTCGGCGTCCCTTCCGCAGCCGAATGGAAGAAGGGGCGCCGTAAGGGACGGTGGGCGTGGAGGGAGTGCCTTTGGGTCACGGCCGTCGCAGTTCTCAGAGGACGCGGCATGGGCCCAGCTGCGCCGCTTGCCCTGGGACAGACCCGCACGAGGCCTGAGCAGGCGCCGCGCTTGACGAGAGCCAAAGCGAATTCTCAGCCGTGGACTTGGCCCACTCTTTCTAATTGGTGGGAGAGAAGCCCTGCCATTCCTGACCCCCGCCAAAGAGCGAGCCCCAAGCTGGAGGACCTGGTACTGTCACAGCGGCTGGCCACCCCCATCCTCCAAGCTGGCAGACCCAGGGAAACCCACTTTGACCTCCGTAAACCCCGAGGCTGGCTTCTAGGCCCACAAGGACTCCTGCCACCCGCAACTTCTTCGAACACGGTCTCAGGACAAGAGGGCAAGCCAGGTGGCAGGTGGGTGCTGTTCCCAGGCGGGCACACAGCTCCCAGCATGACAGTAGGGCAGGCTGGGATTCCCCAGGGGGCCCAGCAGCTGCGACAGGGGAGGGTGCGCTCCAGCAACGCCCCTCAGTCAAGGGACCCCGCCCATGTGCAGTTTCCAACCCCTCCCGGGGGGCCCGAGTCACAAGAGTCACCGCTGGCCCCCCAGAGCTTCCAGACCTGGAAGGCAGGGCCTCAGAGGATGCTCACCAGCATCTTCCAAACCAAAGTGGGTGGTTTCTCAGAAACTGTCAACAGGGACGGAAAACCACATCCACGTGGCTGCCAGCTCCTGCTGCCATTGCGCAGGGACTGCTGCCCGGTGCGCCCCAATCTCATTCCCCTTCTAGAAAATGGGTGGCAAATGATGCCGGGCTGGGCTGCCCACCTGAGGCACCGGGGGGAAGGCAGGGGGACAGGGGAGTCAGGTTCGAAGGAAGCCCTCAGGAGGTGACCTCCGTATCTCGATCAAGGCAAGAAGTACTCGGGAGATGACACACCCCACACCGGACAAAGGTCACCCGAGAGCCAGGGAGCAGGCTGGGCAGCCAGGCGCAGGTGGCGCCACCCTGGGTTCCCGGCCTCGCGGGGAAGCTGCAGTGCAGGGAGGGAGCAAAGGGAGGGGACACACGCGTTCTGCTTTGGGGGTACGTGCCCCGCCCAGCCCCCAGCGCCCGTGCACGAGCACCAGGGTGGATGCGCGGACGTGCCAGACAGACAGCTGCCTACAGCGGTGCGGGGCCTAGAGGAGCCCACGCTCAAAGGGAACTGCAGGGAGCCCCTCCTCACCCCACTGCCTACGCCTCAGCACTTGGAGCTCGGAGTCACAAACCACAGACGCCGAGCGTCCGCGTGCAAACTGCGGCAGGAGTGCTTAAAAGGAGCATCCTTCCAACAGATTGCCCGATCCCACAGCCAGAGGGTCGGCCTGTGTCCTCTGAGAGAATCCGACCCGCCCTTTCACCCCGACCCCCCCTCTGATCACCCGCCCCCCATGTAAGGAACCCTTGAACCTTCTGGGCACCATGAACAGCCGGGACTTGAGCCCCCTAGGCCGCTCTGAGAGGCAAGAGGGAAAGGTTCCCCTTCAAGGAAAAGAGCAGTGAAGCTTCAGCTCCTACACACAGAGCTTTCTCTTTTGTAAGCGTGTGTGTTACCAACAGGGTGCTAAGCCCACACGGCAGAGGAGAGAAACGCATTAGTTGTGCAGTTTGCCTTTCAGTGCCCGAACGTACTTATGTATTTACGTAACCGGTGCTACCTTGACGGATCCATGTCTCTCTGCAGTTCTGCACATGAATCTCTGTGGACCTGAGTTCTGGATTATGGAGCTACTGTGAAAATATGTTTGAGTAAAGCAATAAGCCCTAAAAAGCTAGTCTTGCGATCAGACACGTGATCCGCCCGTTTGGAGGTTACCCCTCTGCTGTGTTTGCCGGCCTGGCGGGGGCCTGCTCACAGGCACCGGTTGGCTGACAGCCACTCTGGGAGCCTCTGCGCAGGAAGGGTGGAGGGGGAGGCACTACTCATCACCAGTGACCTAGCATCCCAAGTCAAAACCCTAAATCATGGCCCCAAGGCTCTACTCGAAGGAGCCGGCTTCCTGCGGTTCACAGTCACCGCCTCAGCCATGCTGACACCCAGCGCACGCCCAGCCAAAGGGAACAAGCGGGGACCGTGGGGAGGTGGCCAGACCACCACCTTTTGGAGGAGGGCAGAAACTCATCCCTGACGCATGGGGCTCCTGACCACATTGCTGGGCGAAGGCACGGTCACAGTCGCTCTCTAGCACACCTGCTGGGTCCCTGGCCCACTTACTTAGCTCAAGGAGCATCCTCTCTGCGCAGGAGACGTTTGCGAGGCTCCGAGCTGATGCACAGTCTCGTCAACACACCCAGCGTCCCAAGCCACCCGCTCAGCTCCCGGCTAGACTACCGCGTCCCGCGACTCTGTCCCCACCCAGGGACCCTGCTGTAACGCCACCCGAGGGCTCATCCGGATGAAGACACCTCTTCTCTACCCTGCACCCCAGTTCCTCCATCTTCCTTTAGAAATACCCAAAGGATTCCAAGAGGATGGTTAGCCCTTAAAGGAGACTCAGTTGGAAAATGAATTTGCTCACAAACTCCAGGGCCAGCGCTGGCCCTTGGCAATTTGCCAACCAAGGGTTTCGGGGGAGACTCTGAGAACGAGGAGTATTACACTGAGTGGCCGCCATCAACTTGGAGGCAAATTTCAAGGCTCCATGCTACAATGTCAGTTGTCAGCTGACCGACAAGCGACCTCTCCCTGCCACCCTGTCCTTAGAGAAGCTCGTACTTGGTGTCAGGAACATCCCCTTGTCCCACTTCGAGGTCTCTACTCACAAAACAACACCAGTTTGTCCTCATAAACAGGAAAATGGATCCGATCCCAAGATGGGGCTCCCAGAACTGATAAAAACCTTGAAAGGTCACGGTCTAGCTTCCGCCATCAGTGAGATGGACATCCAAGGCCACTCTGGGAAGACAGCGGTCCCATTCTGAGTACATCAAGGGACGCAGACCACACGGACTTCCCAAACAGTCCGCCCCAGTGCGTCCGGAGCTCAGCCCGCTCCTACTGCCACAGGGCCTTCGCCACATCTCAAGTCACTCAACAGGGAGGTGAGAGAATGAACGTTGAAAAGAACGCCGAAGACCAAACCAGGCAGACCCTGCAGGAGCGGGGCGGACGCCGGCGTCCTGCAAAGCAGGACCCAAAACCACGGCAGTCTCATCTTCCCTCTCCGGAGCACGGAAGCATGGAGACTGCCAAAAGTACATTTGGTGGGGGATATAAACAGTATTCCTTTGTGTCCCCTTCGTAAAAAATGAGCCTTCTGGGGCCAGGCTCAAGTCCCTCATGAGAGCGGCTCACCAGCCCAGCTTGCTCCTCCTACGGGCAACAGGGGTTGTCGATGACCAACATGACGTCGATGCCGTAGGCCTCCAGCAGGTCCATGAGGAAGCTGCGGTCTCCCTGGGGGTCCAGGCCCATGCCCCGGGCGTGCTCGGCTGTCAGGGTTTTGTCTTGACTGGCGGACACCTCCAGCAAAGTCTGGAATATCCGGTTGTTTTGCTCTAGGAAAAACCTGCATTCAGGAGACAAGACACAGGAGGGGAGGGTGGGAAAGACAGAAATCTCACCGCAGAGCCCACACACGGGGAACCCAATGACACCGGTTTGTTTAAAGTATCTTTAAGTGGTTCCAAAAACCAGAAATCTCTCTTAAAATAAGAAATCAGGATCAAAGTTAAGTGAAAGGGTTATTAAAGGGCTACTAAGATTTGCAAAGAATCCACTGGCATTAATCACAGTGTCATTAGCAAAATCGCGGAGGGCGTGACGGCCGGACTGCCACAAAGCTCCCCCGCTGCTGAGGGGTTACTGGGGTTTCAACACAGCCTCGGGGACAGGCCCCCACAGGCTGCGTGTCTCTCTTTCTGCTTAGTCACGAGGGGGAGTTAAAAAAACAAACAACTGATCCTGCAGCTCTGAGGTCATGATGTCCAGTGAGGAGCTGAAATGCACCTGCCCAGCCCGGGCCCGGTAATCAGAGCAGTGGCAGGTGAAGAGCTCTGAAGCCACCGCAGCCCCTGAGCCACCGCAGACCACGCAAGGCCGCCGCGCCGGTCCACGCACCAAAGGTGGAGCTCGGAGGAGCTGGGGCGGGAGCTGCAGGCACCGATCCCGCCATGGCTCACCATCTTGGGTTATGTTTTTTTTTTTAATTATGCACAGAGCAGGACCCCCATGCCACCGATTTCTAGTACTGCATGAGCCTACGAGCTGTGTTCAAAAAAGGCGTTAAGCATCTAGACTTTGCTGCTGTGTCCCATGGAGCTCTCGGGTTCTGCAAAGGTGCCCCCTGCCCCGGAAGCTCTGGACGCCCAGAAACCTCAGATACAAGGGAAGGTGTCTAACCTTGAGGGGACCGCTGGCTCTTTGCCCAATCCCCAGGCACTTTTTGTACCTGAACAGCTTTCTAAGTGTGCCCTAGAAAGTACAGTGTCTTGGAATCACAGTAGTGTGCTTTGTTGAACCACCAGCAATTTTCAACACAAAGCCAGAAAGAGTTCTAACCGTGAGCGCTGTTCCCCACCCCGTCCCAGGACAGGAAGCGACTGCACTTCTGTCCTCGTCACGGTGCCACTGAGTGCTGTGTCAACAGTGGCTTACGCGTGAAATCAATGCTCTAAGGGATGAAGGCCCAGTTCCCACCTGACCACTAACCGGTCCTGGGGAAAGATTCCAGTAGGTACAACAGTTACATTTTCAGATTATCCCATAATACTCAATGCAAAGAAATGCTCTATTCCAGGGAAGCAATGGACGAGAGGTCCCTGGATCCTGAGCGACAGACGGAGCTTCTGTGCAGTGAACAAATCCCAGGACCCCCATTTCCTCTTACTGGCCTTCCCCTGCTACTTTCGTCCCTGCTCTGGGTCCCCGCTGACAGCATTTCAGGGCTCTGGGCTGACTGCAGGGAGCCTGGCTCCGGGTGCCCTCTGCAGAGCAACACAGAAGGGGCTGGGTGTGAACCTGGCGGGCCCAGGGGGGCGCGGGGGGGGTGGCGCAGCGTGCGCACGGCAGGCCTGGCAGGCTCAGCAACCGAGCGGAGCCGCACAGGGCGCTCTGATCGCCAGTCCCTAGCTGGGCGGGCCACGGCAGGTGGTCCCCCCCACACCCCCACCCCCGGGCCCGCAGCTCCCTTGGCAAAGGCCAGTCTTTCAGGGAGCTCTGCCCGCGGTTCCCACGCAGCTGGGATAACCTGCCTTTGAAACGCCAGAGTAACTTCCTTTCCTGGACCCCTCAAAGGCACACACGCCAGCACCGGGACGCAAAACCACAGAGCCCCTCACTGCCATCTCGGTCTCCCCGTGCCATCTGCACGTGCCGTGAAGGTTAATTACAAGCTGTCCCGTGCCCGCCGGTGAAACGCAGTGCGTGCGTCTCCATTTTTGCCTTTTATCCAGTCCCAGAGGCTTCCCTGCTCTGCTTTCTCCCGCCTCCTGCATCCACCCCCGATGGGGTTCGTGCAACCCTCCTCTCGTCGCCTCCTCTGACTCTAATGTATAAAAGAAACAGCAAAACTGCTGTTCTCTGGGGCCTTTGAGATCGTGCTCCCCGGCAACTGTTGTCAGTTTGGCCCGACACAGTCATGCAAATGCTTTCCAGGTTTGTATGTTTCGCACACCCACAGCAGCGTGACGGCGGCGTGACCCAGGACAGACCCGGGCCTCGGCGCCGGCGCTAAGGCACCCTTGTGGGGGGGTGCGGGGGCCTGGCCCAGCCCAGCCGGGGGACTCACAGCACAAACAGGTCCTCTTCACAGGGGCCGCAGTCCCCATCCACCTCCTGGGAGTACAGCAGCGTCTGCCTGGCGGGGGGAGTCACCATCAGACTGCGAGCGGCAGGCCCCGGCATCGTGCCGGCGTCTGCACAGGCCGCCCCCTCCCAGGACGAGGGCGACTGGAGGAGCCCCGACCCCGTCCCAGGGCCGGGAGAGAAGGGCCGGGAAGGGAGTAAACAGGGCAGAGGGTCCCAGGGCCGGTTCTGGCCCTGTGTCACCGTAGGCGATGGACAGTCTTTCCTAACTGCCCATCAGATAGGGACGGTGACGGCCGTTTCTTTCACAGGATGATTAAGTGCGGAGAATTGCATGAGGCGAAGAACAAGCGAGTGCTCGGTGCCATGGCGCCCACCCCAGACGCTCAGGGCCTGGCCTCCTGACGTCCACCAGGAGGCCCCCGCCCCCGGGTCTGCGGCCCTGTCCGGCGCTCTGCGGGCCCAGCCTCCTCACCGCCCTGGCCTCGGCGGCGGCCGGCTGCCGGCCGCGAGCCATGAGGGAAGCGGGGCGCGCATGGGCTTGACAGAGACCCCGGCTCAGCGGTCCTGCCCAGGGGACGCCTGTCAGAGGGCCTGCCGCCCGGCCCCGCTACCTCTGCTCGTTGAGCCGCCGGTACTTCTCCCGGTCGGCGCTGTTGATCTTCAGCAGGGGCTGCAGGTGGCCGTGGTGCGTCTTCACGTTCTGGTTATCCACGTAGACATCGTACAGCTCCCGCTTCTCCTCGAAAATCTTCTCTGTGGTGCCTGTGGGACCCCAGGTCAGGAGGTGGGAACCCCGAAGCCGTCACCAAAGGGCACCAGCCCAACCCGCTGGGAAACAAGGAGCCCAGGAGCCCGGAGTCCGTGAGGAGAAGGGCCCTAGGGGAGCTGGGAGGCTGTGGGCGGTCCTGGGGGCAGGGATGTGGGGGCAAGAGGCGGGCGCCGTGCTCACAGGCCACGTAGGACACCTCCACCTCCAGGCTCTCGATGTCAGCCACGTTCACGTAGAAGAAAGGCTTGGACTCGGGAATGGTGCCCCCAATGCCAGGCAGCGAGACGTTGGCCAGGCAGCAGCAGCAGTACACTGCGGGGCGGAGACAGTGTCGGGGAGACCCTGCCCTGCCCGCCCCTGCTCCTGCAGGGCCCGCCGAGCAACCCGGAGCTGCCCGCCTCCCTGGATGCCACTGAGGGCGTGGCTCTGGGCTGTCCGGGTACCTGAGGAACCAGGGGGTCCTGCCCTCTGCAGGGGGCGGCACTTTTAGTTGCCACGGCAGAACCTGATCTCCGCAAGGCCCCTTCAGCAATGTCCCACCAAATCCCACGGACGGGTCCCCATCCTCACTGCAGCTGGGCTTGCTCAGGACGCAGCCCCGGGGACCCTCTCTGAACTCCCGCCCACCGTAGCCCTTCCACCTCTGGTTCCCTGCTCCTGATGGTTCCACCTCGGTCTCCCCTGTCTGCCACCTTTACGGTTCCCATCCTATGCCTGTACCTTAAACACTGGCCACTCGCTGTCCCCACAGGGGGCCATCCATCCCGGGGTCACCAGCGCGGTGTGAGGCCCTCTCAACTTCCTCTCCGGCCCAGCGGTACCGGTGCCAGTGGACGCTGCCAGCGGGCCTCGCCGGCAGCACACAGTCACCGCGCCCGGAGTTAGTTTTCATACCACCTACCTGTCCCCGGTCCCCGTCTGGGGGCCCCGCCTTCCTTGTCAGCCTAGACTCGTTCTCCATTACGACCACATCAGAATCTTACAACCCAACCACACAGAAATGCTGTCAAGCTTGTCTCTTAAACACGAGGCTACCTAGAAGCCGTCTCCTCTGCTCTGACGCAGACCCTCACCTGTCCCCAGCCCACCTCCTGCATCGCCACCACTGCCCACGTTCTCAAGCACGGATCCAGCCACGTGGCTCCTGTGACCTCGCAGGTAAGTCCCACGCTCTCCTGAACTTGGTCAGCAGTGGAGAGACTCCAGCAGCTTCTGCCCTGGGGGACTCAGCAAGGGCCCCTGGCGCTGGCCTCGACTTACCTCTGTAGCACACGACGCCCACAGGAGGGGGAGAAAATATCAAAATGCGCTTTCGAAGTAAAGCAAATTTCCAAAGGATGAGGATCTGTTCTCCAAAGAACTTAATGAACTGAGACATGCAGCCAGCTGGGTGTGTGATCTGAACAAATCGAAAGGGAGGCGGGAGGGAAGGACAGCTTGTTAGAAGCATCTTTGTGAAAAACATTCAACACAGGTGTGCGCAGCCCCCACTCCCCAAAAGAAAAACAGAACCGAAGGGCAACCAAACAGATGCGGGGATGGCTACTTCCCCATAAAATGGTATCTTCCTCTTCCAAAGTCTCGTCTTGAAACCGGATGTCTATAATGCAACAGCTCCCCTGACACTGGAGTCTGAGTTCGAGGATCATTAACTACTTCACTCAGGAGAGAGAGGAGCCGAGGAAACCGGCCCGGACATAACTTCTTAAGAGTCAGAAATAAAAGGGTCCCTGTAGCGACAGCACCCCTCCGCGAGAACATTCCACGCACAGACGTTGCGGGGCACTGGGAGGAATGAAATGGCGAGCGAACGTCCCAGGTCGGGTCCCCAACTGTATCGGGACCGGCTTCGGTGCGGAAGGAGGTGCCTGCGCAGGGAGGGGGACCCGCCGGGCCTGCGGGTGGAAGGGCCCTCTGCTCTTCGGCCCCTACCGCCCTCCTTTCTTTCTGCCCGCGGGAGCCTGTCACCTCGGCCAGCAAGGTATGGAGGCCCTCAGCTCAGCAGCCCTCAACAAACTCAGAGTCCCCAGCAAGTACATGAGCTTGGAGGGGGTACGCTTTCCCAGCAGAGCCTTCAGATGAGGGCCCAGCCCTGGCTGACACCTCGACTGTGGTCCCACGAAAGACCACGAAGCACAGGACCCAGCTAAGCCAGGCCTGATTCCTGACCCCCCGAAGCTGTGAGATAATAAATGCGCACTGGTTTAAACCACTAACTCGGGAGAACCATTGGCCATGCCCTCCCTCGGTCTGGAGTCGGCGTCCCTCACTCTCTGCCTCACCAAACACTTCACGGGCCACCTCCTCTTCCAAGCGGCCCTCCCAGATTTCTCTCTTAAACTCATGACCTAATTTCTCTGCCAGGAAGCTGAGGTGTCTGTGGAAGGATGACCTACGCGGAAGGTGGGGAGGAACTTCAAATTCATAGTCATCTTCATTTCCTCCCAACACCTAACATTGGGCTGGGTGTTTTGTTAACTGTAAACAAACGTATTCTACTACAAAGGTAAAGTACTTCAGGAAAAGTACACGGTAAAGCAATATCCAAAATACTATAAGAAATACTATACCTGTTCTAATGCTTCATCGTTAGCTCAAATGTCTGACTTCAAAATACCTGAAGCAATCAACAGAATCAAAGCCCCCTCTTTCCCCATGCCCCACCCCCCAGGAATCCACCAGGGCTGGCCTATCAGTAGGGCTTTGCACAACGATTGCCAAGTGTCTGAAAAGCATACTGTTCAACATAACTTGCTTTATGTTTTAGAAGAACCCCAATGCTGAAGTTAGTGGTCCTACCCTACCAAACGCAGACTTTGGGCATGAGCCCAGGACATAAATTCCTCATCAATTAAGAAAGACACGGGCCAGTGGCGCAATGGATAACGCGTCTGACTTCGGATCGGAAGAGAATAATTAAGCGCTGCTGTGTGCAGACACGGGCCCCAGACATGGAACGGACGGCAGGCCTCACCTTCATCTCAGGGTACATGTACCGGTGGATGGACGGCAGCCAGTAGACGGGGGGCAGGCCGCCACCTCTCCCGGGACCGGCATGGAGCACCCCCTTCTTGTCCTCATAGAAGGCAGCCAGATGGGAGTAATGTCCCGGCGTCTCCAACTGGTGTCTGCAAACCCACAGGTGCACGGTGAGACCGGCGTCTGCCACCTCCGGGTCCCTCACCACCCCCGGCCCCCGCCCCATCGGCTACGACCCTCAGGGGCGAACAAAGGCCCAGAGGCGCTGAAAAGGCCCCTTTTTTGAGGTTACCCAGGGTGTCTCCTTGGGAATTACACGAGGGCCTTGGGAAAAGCTCCAACGTGGGGTCTGATACTCCCTGACGCCGCTCTGTAGCTCATTCCCCTTCTCATGGGAAACAGGCAGAATTAACAGACTGTGACTAATGCCTTTGTTTGTGAGCGAGGTCTGCGCAGGCCTGGCCGTGTGGGCTTCCCCGAGCGTGGCCGCGGGCCAGGCAAGGGGGTAACTTGGAAGACCACGGATTCCCTGCTTCAAGCTGCCCTTTGTTTAGGAATCACGCTTGCTTGCTGGTTATGTTGTTATTAAAGGATAAGAGGAAGCTTACCCCACAGTGTCTCAAAGAAGAGGAAACAATTATTATAGGATGTGACTAAGGGCTCAGAATTTCTGTACCAAGTGATGAACAGAAAGTTCAGAATGTCTTCTCTTTCTACCCCCACCCTGCTCAGGACGGCAGGGCCGTGGCAGTGGGTGGCCCTGACACCTGACCCCCAAACCAAGAAAGCTGCACTGAGCCCAGGCCGTTGGGACAATGGAGAACCCTGCCTTCAAGGCGAATGCAGGAGGGCAGGGAACGCTGTTTGGCGCTTTGTTTAATGGGGGTGTTAAGGGTTGAACAGTGTCCTCCACACACAAAAAAATGTCGGAGGCCTCAGAATGTGACCTTATTTGGAGGAAGGCTCTTCACAGAGGTAATTAAGGTGGGTCCTAATCCAATATGACTGGTGTCTTTATAAAAGGGAAATCTGGACACACAGGGACCCCCACAGGGGGAACGTCATGAGAAGATGAAGGCAGGGGCCAGAAACAATGATCTACGAGCCACCGGGATCGCCAGCAAACCAGCAACTGCAGGAGGGAGAGAGGCGAGAGCTGGGCCCCCCCAAACCTCGCAGCCTTGGGAGCCCACCCAGCCGACAGCGCGGGTTCCTGCTTCTGGCTCCAGGACTGTAAGAAACTACATTCCTGTTGTTCTAAGCCACCCAGTATCTGGTACTTTGTGATGGCAACCCCAGGAAACTAATATAGGGAGGACTTTAAAAAGGCTCTTAAACCTTTTTTAGCCCATTTGTATTTTCATGGCACCCTACAATTTCCATCATATCGAAACAAAAAAGGACCAAAATCTAGCTTTATTGAACAAGGGACGGCTCGCCTACTTACGGCGGGGCCTGGACCCTCGGAGGCCACCTCCCCGAGCTGCCCCTATGACACAAGCCACCCCGACTGGGGGTTTTCATCGTCCAGCTGGCAGCCGGCGCCCCTCCACCCGCCGCCCCCCTGGACTGACACGGAGCTCCAGTGTCCGGGCCACGCCTGCTACTGCCCCACTGGGAGATCTCAGGCAACTTACTAAGCTTTTCAAAATCCACTTGCTTCCTTTCCTTAACACGCGGACACCGCATTTTAGCAGATACTGGCACCACCTTGGTGTTATTTTGAGAGGTAATGAAATCAAGTAGAAAAAGTGGCTGGCGCCACTTGTGACTTGTCGTCTCCCATAAAACATTAGGTTCCTTCCTCCCGGCTCGCTGGCGGCGTCTAGCCCAGCGCAGGGAGGGCTCAGAACCGAGGTAAAGGGGGCTGATTCTGGGCGAGCCCTGGGAGAGAACTTCAGGCAACTTTGCATTTTACAAAGAAAGAACACATCATCGACATTCCACAAATGATTACTAAACTAAGGTTCTCCCCGATGAACAGCCCTCCGACCCGGGGTTCCTGCACAGCCCGGCTTCGGCTTTGCGCGGGGAGGCTGTGACGCGGCCAGGCCCCTGCGGAGGGCGCTTACAGCCATTTCTCTGGTTCTCACAAAAAGCCCAGGTGTGGATGGGAAATCCAGGGCGATTCGGGTGCGTTTGTCTAGCTGAGCAGATGGGAGAGATCAGGGACTCTTCGGGGCGGGGTGGGGCGGGGCGGGGGAGAATGTCAAATCGATGCAACTTTGATTACCACAAAGTAACACAAAGGCAATTAAGTTCAAGGATATTTTCATTAGGACCTAATTTCCTGAAAAAGAATAGTGGGACTCATTTTATAGTATTTTTAATAGTATGTTTTCTGAGTTAAAGGGGGGGTGCATGGAGGGCAATTATGTAAGACTTTGTCATTTTCGAGGTTCGTTGTTGAGTTCCTGCTCCACTGACTGTCCTCGCTGTTTGGCTGCATTAAATGCTGTGCTAGCAGTGATGTGCAACCCTTGGCACGCGGGCCACATGCGGCCCAGGGTGGCTGTGAAGGTTCAAGGTCGCCCAACATAAAACTGTAAATTTACTTACAACCTTATTTTTTTTTTTTTTTTGGCTCATCAGTTTTCGTTAATGTTTGTGTATTTAATGTGAGGCCCAAGATAACTCCTCATCTTCCGGTGTGGCCCAGGGACGTCAGAAGGCTGGACACCCACTTGAACCAAGATTCTGAAGCAAAGCTCTAAGTTAGGGTCCTGTAGATGAACAGCTCGTTTCAGGACTTGTCCTCTGAGTCCCTAAGAGACCCCTGACCGACGGAGCAGGACAGGCGAGAGTATGGAAAGCAGGTATGAGCGCACATGTCAATACAAATTGGCAGCTCCTGCGTAAATGGTAACCAACTGTGGTGTGAAAGCCTCAAAATTTAAACACACTATAGATTTTGCAATAAACAAAATTGATCATCAAGCCATACTATGAAGATACACTGAAAGGTACTGAAGCAAAGCTGAGAGTGCCAGAAGGTAAACTGGGCATCCAGGGCGATGCAAAAGGAGACCTTCCTGGTGATCGTCCCGACACGAGGCACAGATGCAGACCCTCGCACGTGGGAACGTAGGCCAAGCATCTGTGGAAGATGCCCAAGAAACCTGACATTGTAGCTGACATAATATATGCCACTGACGCTTCGGGGCCACACAGAGGATCCCCGGCAGGACCAGAGAGGCCAGCAGTCTTCTCAAACCCACAGCCTCTTCACTGATAACACCCTGAGGTCACGCTGATGTGACCCCGCAGGTGCCCACTGCAGCTCCTCCTGCCTTCCTCCGCCACACCCAGCAACGAGGCATCCAGCGTAAGAACGAGAGGCGCCTCCGTGCCAGGATGACACGCCATCGCTCCTGTGCGCCACTACCGGTGAGAACCTGGCCTGTCTTTGGGCTTTGCAAGTACAGAAAAGCATGCATCCCACTGACTGCGAGTGCAGGTCCAAACTGGTACCACCCTCTGAAGGATCACTTGCAAGTTGTAGTAAATTGTACACTGTATATACCCTTTGACCCAAAGATTCCATTTCTAGGAATGTGGCCAAAAGAAGTGTACATGAATGTGAACAATCATTTACCTCCAGGATGCTCATTTTACAGTGGTGAAAAATAACAACCTAAAAGCCCCAAAAGAGTGAAGCAGTTGTGATCACCTATATGGTGAAATGCTATGAACCCACCAAAATGACTGTGAGGACTGTCAGTCATGACTGTTGAAAGGTAACATATCAAGTTAGAAAATGTAAATACTGAATGATGAATTTTTTAAAAAAAATGACTGTATGTGCATATTTATACATGAGAAAAAGGCTACAAGGATATAAATGTTAACAGTAGATATGTCTGGCTGGTGGGATCACGTTCTTTTTTCTTTGAGTTTTTTGTCTATTTTTCAAAGTTTTCTATGATAACTAGATGTTAATTTTGTATTTAGTCTTTTTAAATGTTTCATTACGGAGATTTTGAATTATACGCAGAAAGTAGAAAGAAGAAAATAAGAGGGGGTGGGGAATGGACGAACTTGTCTCTTCTTCCCCTCAGGGGTGTCCAACCTCTTGGGGTCTCTGTGTCACACTAGAAGAAGAGTTGTCCTGAGCCGCACATGAAATACACTGTGACACAGAATCACAAAAAAGAAAATCTCATAATGTTTTGAGTAAGTTTACGATTTTGGGTTGGGCCGCATTCGCAGCCAGCCCTGGGCTGCGTGCGGCCTGCAGGCTGGACACTCCTGGCTGGGTTTTTGTTCAGGCGGAGCAGGTCCTCATCTAACGAAAAAAACTGCCTCACATCACACAGAAATCGCAGGTTTCAGCCAGAGGCATTCACTGAGTGAACCTCCCTGTCCCTCTTGGGTGGGAAAAACATCCTCCACATATGGGACGAAGAGCACGCGTGGATACCCAGGCAGCCAGAGGGGCAAATGGGAGCAGGGGTCGCTAATTTCCCCCCAAATCCATTCTTCCCACTTCCTGGGTGTAACAGAAGCCGCAGAATTTTAATTGGTCACACGGCCGCCCGCCTAGGGATGACCTTTCCCGCCTCCTCTGCCGGGAGGCATGTCCTTGTGACTGAGACTGTGACAAAGGAATGAGAAACCCTGCTGGCGACTTCCAGGCCTTTCCTCTTCCCTGTGGTTGGGACGCAGACGTGGCTTTGAACACTTGAGAGCAGCTTGAAAGACAGGAAACGCTCTTAGAGCTTGGTGGAGCGGTCAGAGGCAGTGTGGGTCTCTGAACGGGGGTGTGGGGCAGCAGGTGCCCCACCTGCCCACCTGCCACGTGCCTCTCTGTGGCCTGTTCCACGAGGAAAACACTCTTCTGTCCTGTCTGAGTCATTCCATCCTGGGGTTTTGTTATCACCACTTAGCTGGAACCCTAACTCATACCTTCCTGTGATTTTAGAATGTACTGCCTATTTGGGAAATTCATTTTTTCAAAAAGTAATGTTTTTTTAAAGTGTCAGGATCCCACAAAAATGTTATTTTTACTCCATAATATTAGTTCTGGTACACAAAACTAAATATTTCTGCTACTCCTGAAGAAGGAAATGCAATAGAAAAGTTGAATATTTTATTATAGAAGGTTTCTGTAATTAAAAATAAAAGACATATCTGTAGATCCAAGGGGACAAACGATCCCAGAAAAAAATAAGAAGTTCAGAAACAACACAGATAAAGAAAGACTCTAAGGTACCCGGAGAGAAGCAATTTCTCCAGAACAATTAATAGCAGAAGGTAGCACAGTATTCTGTGCAGCATCCTGAGAGGAAGGAAGGCAGACTCAAGAATCTTACCATCTGCGGAGAGTAAAGGCAACAAACAATAGGATTACGCAGGCAACGCTTCACAGAAGGCGTCGTCCACGGTCCTTTCACGGGAGGAAAAAAGTCCTTGCCGGGAAAATCCAGCCAACCAAGAAACAAATCATGTCAACAACCGAGGACGGGCGCACGCCACGCGGAGTCCTGGACGTGGCTGGAAGGGCACAGCTGAGACTGGGGGACTGTGGGAGGTATGGCTCTGGGGCTACGAGTCACAGACCTTGCACCTCTATAAAACTGAGATGGGGGGCAGGGCGCTGGGAGGGGGGCAGGATGATGGGCTGTCGGTGATTGAACACAATTTAAAGACCAACGACACCTGTACAAAGATTACCGCACTGTCCTGTACATGCTGCCTCTCAATAAAAATAAGAATGATACCATCTCTTCGTGGTTTTCATCCATGGGGGACTAGATCAAGAAGAAATTTATCTTATTGGGAAAATAAAAATTCACTTAAAGTTTGATAATTGCTTCGGTTTCATTTCCTCTTTTCCTAATAGATACAAGTAAAATTAAATATATTTCATGAAAATAACCTGCTTTTTTGATAAAATTAAATCTTCATAAGATAGTAATCCTATTTTTGTAAAATTATTTCTATTTTAGAATGGCATTCACTGCATATTGAGAATGTGCATCTCCCTAAGCGGTAAGATTTGGGGGAACGTTTAAAATTCATTTGCACTTCTTTATAAATTTTTAAACAAACATGTTTTTTCCCCCACAGACAATAAATTTCATGTTCTTTCAAAGATAATGATCAAGAAAGATATTAAGAATCAAAATAATGATAAATTTTAAAAGTACAGATGATGTATAGAGTATGATGCCAAGGATATATTTTTTAAAGCGCACACACACTATACATATCAGAAAAGAGCAAACATACTAAAATATTAACAGTGCTTTAAGGTTTAGGGATAGATTCCTCCTTCAAAAATCTGAAATGAAATTGAAATACATAATGAAAAAGAATATTACATGACTAATAAATAGTTTTGCTAGTTCTGCTAAGAATTCACTTTCTATTACCCAAAATAATAATAATTACCCTAAATAAGAAATGATTAGGCTTAAAGGAAGTTAAGAGTCTGTTTGCCTACCTGGGCAAGGGGGCTATTATTGTGACACAGGAAAACATAGATCCTATGCAGGACGGTGAATTATTTAATTAGACCAAATTGATGACAGTATGAAAACAAACTGAAAGCAAAATCTCCCCTAGTGGTCATTACGGTATGAAGAATTATTGTGCAGGACGTCGGTTGAAACAGAAAGACCTGCCCCCGAGGTGTGAAACACGGCCGCGGATGTTCCTGGAGAGGCACCTGTTGCGCTGGTACACGACCTTGACCGCTGAGGGCTCGCCAGGGCACCCGCCGCCAGGGCCCCGCGGCCTCCCAGCCTTGCACGCGTAGGTAAGCCACGTACCGAACCTGGTTCTCCAAGAAGTGCATGTACCGGTAAAGCAGGGTGTAGGACGGAGACAGGATGCCCACAGACTTCATGCGCGCTCCCCGCTCCAGCTCGCTCTCCACGGGCATGTTGGCGAAGCAGGCCAGGCCGAAGAAGGGTCCCTTCCGGAAATAGCTACAATGGACCAGACATGTCGTGTGCTTCGAAATCAGAGACAAAGAGTCTGTTTTGCTCTGTTTTTTTTTTTTTTTCATTTGAGATGCAGTCCCCAAGAAAAATAACTTTGTCCAGGGTTCTGTGTGAGAAAGCTCAGCTTAAAAAACACATTTCTAGGATCTCAGGGGACCAATCTGCCTAAGCTGCCCGTCCTCACGAATGAGACAGCCAAGGCTCAAACAAATGAGGGCACTCGCCAAGGGTCACCCAGCCGCAGCCGGGACTGATCCCTGGCAAGCCTGCTGCTCAATTGCCCATGACCATGAATATATCCTTCTCCTCTCCTGCATAACAGCTAGGGACTCAGAACATAGATTCTTCCTCCGGCCTGTCCAGAACCAGCATTCCGCTTCATTAGCATAAGCCCTGTTGACTTTCCCTCACTTCCTGGTGCTCTGAGGTCTTTCATAGAGCATGTGACCAGAACCCTCGCATTTCCTTCCCCTTCTCACACTGGTCAGTCGAGGTCTCAGGCCAAGTAGGAGACTAAAGCCACTTCATCACCCTTACTTTCTTTCCCTTTGCTCCTCTTCCCAAGGGTCTCAATTACGCAGGACTATAAACTGGCCTTCCTTATAGCTGGAATTTCAAGTTTTAGCACATACACAGCTGCAGTAAACTGGAACTAAACCAGAGCACCATGCTGTCATTAAAGCCAAAGCTCAAGGGAGGTCCGATCATTTCTTCGAAAGGGAGAGAACTTCTATGGTAGTTCTTAACGTTTTGGGGTCATGAAATCCATTGAGAACCTAATGAAAGGTAGGGACCTTCTTGCTAGAAAAATGATATAAACCCAAAACTCTGTGTGTGTGTGTGTGTGTGTGTGTGTGTGTGTAATTTTATTTTATTTTTTTTTCCAGAGCGTTAATACACACTTCCTGCAGACCTCTGGTAAGAGCCCTTATGCTCTGGGGAAAGTAGAGGGTGGAGAGAAAATGATACAGAGAAGACTTACATTCAGAAGGACTTACATGAAATCAGACTGGATTTTATGGGACCCACTGGCCATAGACTTGAACTCAACGCCTTCAAGGTCAATATCTTGAGGTAGACACCATTCTACCATATTTCCTGTGGGGAAGGGAGAACACAAGTCAAAAGAAACAAAATCATGCAAAGAAAAAGGCTGAGTGCAGGGCTGAGCACATATGGCTTCTCAGAAAATGTATTCGGTAACTTGTACGGCTTTGATTTACTTAAATGCAGGGCTGTGTAAGTACAGGAAATACCATACGGAGTGCTGTCGTAACTACACAGCTCAAAGAACCTGCCCGACATGCACACACCTATGTAACCAGCCCGCAGACCAAGACGCAGCCATTCTCTGCACGTCGGTAGCCTCTCCTGTGTTCCCTCCAAGTCATCAACCCTCTCTCAAGGTAACGGTTATCCTGACCTCTAACGCCGTACATTAGCTTTGCTGTTCTTAAATTTTAGAAACGCGATCATAGTTTGTGTTCTTCTGTGTCTGTTTCCTTTCATTCAATATATTGTTGTTGCAAGATTCACCCATGTTGGTGCCTGGAGCAATAGTTTGTTCATTGATTACTTCCATCCTGTGTATGCAACACTGTTTACTTAACCATTGATACATATTTAGCTCACTTTCAATTTAATGCTACTACAAATAGCACTACTGTAAGCCATCTGGTGAATATGCATGGCTAGGCAAGCTCCACTTCTGAGTAGCCCCATCCCTGCAGGTTTCTGATCGAGACCAGGAAGGCGGAAGTGAAGCAGCGGCCATGATGTATTCACACCTGGCTGGCGCGGGAGTGCCAGGCAGCTCACACAGTGGGGGGCAGCCAGGCCTGCTGAGGCTGGGCCCGGCTCCTCCTGGGTCCTCTGTTTTTTAGCTTCTCTGGCTCAGGAGCCAGGGGGCGGTTAGTTCTGCGGTGCTGGGCATCAGCTTCATCAGGACACCCACGTCACTAATGTGGAGGCAGTGACGGGCTGACCCAGGTCCCCATCCATCCTCCTCAGTTCCAGCTTGTTTTCTTTCGCCCCAGTTTTACTCCCTTCTTCCATAACGGCCCACCCAGGACACTCCAAGCTCCATTATCAGACACAAAGACAACAGCTTTCAAGGCAGAGTCTAACTGACTGCCACACTATGTAACATCAAATTCCTGGTTCTGTCTCTTGGATTAAACCTTGACGGACACAAGGTGCACACACGTCTATCGACTATACCAGAAGGAGAACTGCTGTAAAAATCCTCATGTCACTGCAAACCAGAAAAACGTCAATAATTTTGAAAGTAGCATTTTCCAAAGTTAGGTGGACAGGGCTTCTGCAAAAAATAAAACAAATTTTGAAAAATGGATTTTAGCCAAACCACCTTTGTTTAAGTTCTATAAAGACGGACACATTACTATAATGCAGGACTTCTCGGAGCCTTTATTTGTTACTCTGCACTGTGAATCTCAGTGAAATTAATGCAGAGTTTAAGGTTTCCACAATTATTTGGCCAATCACCTTATTTTTCAAGGGCATCTAAGGCACATTTTAGAGAAGGCTTTTTTTTTTTTAAAGAAATGCCAGTATTTAAGGGTCCACTAGTTGACCCTCCATATCCATTCTTCCTTTCTTATAAGGAACAGAACCAAATGACAATGATGTTTCTCAGCACTTTCTCTGCATGTAAGTATGGCTGTATGAGTAAATTCTAGCCAATGGGATGTGGATAGAAGTGAGGTGTGTAGTTTCCAAAATGTGCCTCAATGGGAAGGAGAACGCTACCCCTTCCTCCAACCTGCTGCCTGGAATGCAGATGTTGTGACAAACCATCCTGAATCACGCAGGGGAGGGCTCTGCCTACACGTCATGGAGGGGACAAGGGAGGCCTGGATGACCTCATGGATCAGAGCCAGCATGCCAGCCCTGGGCAGCGATCTCCTGACGGATACATGATAAAGAAAAGCCTGTCTTAACCAAACCACTGTTACTCGGGGTCTCTGGTATTCATGGCTGAACCCATGCCTCACACAGCATGGCTGGCCTATCCAGTTGAGTCCCCACTCCTCAGCCTGGCTCTCAAAGCCTTCCACCTGGTTCCTCTGTGCCTGGCCACTCCTTAACACACAGAAACAGGAAGAGCCGGATGGACTGAGTAACATCCTGTTCATTGCAGTCTTCACGTAAAGATAGAAGCGAGCCCCTCTGGGTTGGGAAGGAAGGCCCATCAGGCTGACAAATCATGGGACAGAGCCCAGGCTCCAGAACACCACTCAGCAAAGAGTTCTTCATCCCCCGGGAAGAAGGGTTCTGCTGACACACTCAGTGAGTGAAAGGGAAGTAGGTAAAGCTATCGTGGCCCTCATCCCAGCCTGCTGTCTTAAATGTCTGTCTCTACGGAGACTGAGGTTCTTCAAGGCAGGAACTTGGTTCATTTACCTTCACATCCCAATGCAATGCATGATTAGCACACAGGACAGGCAGTAAAAGACAAAAGAAAACTGAAAAACACCCTCAGCTTTATTGAGGACAGGCATGTTGTTTAAAAGCTAACTGATGGGTTAATGCTAACTACCCTGGAGGCAATAAGCATGGTGATGTAGGTAGATGTCCTTCTTCTTAGGGGGTTTATGCACAGGTACTTAGAAGAGAAGAATCATCATGCCTGTATTTACCTTCCAATAGCTCAGGGAAAAAAAAGGATATCTACATCTGTCTATGGTCAGTTCTGATATAATGTTTACTGAATTTGTGTCAACACAATTAATATTTTAAGGAAGAATTTGAAAGGCGAAATTTCACATTTGCTTATGTTATAGATTCAAGGCAATTTCAATCAAAAACCTCAGCAAGTCATTTTGTGGACATTGACAAATTAGTTCTAAAGTTTATATGAAAAGGCAAAAGGCCCAAAATAGCCAACATTAGATTGTGTTGGCCAAAAAGTCCATTTAGTTTTTTCCATAAAAGACACATTTTTCATTTTCACTAATAACTTTATTGATTTGGATATTTTGAGGATGTTGGCTATTTCCCACTATTGGCTTCTAGTGGATAGAGGCCAAGGGTGCTGCTAAACATCTTTCAATGCCTAAGACAGCCCCACAGTTAAGAATTACTTGGCCAAAATGTCAATGGTACCAAGAAACTTCGCAAACCACTTTTGACACATTTGATCAGTCACAGCACCTTTTCCCATACACTGCACAAATCTTTTTTGCATTTCAGTTACATTTTTACCTTTCTCAAAATAATAAAGCATAATACACAGAAAATGTGTTATCTTCTTCCATCTTCAATATTAAAATGGCCGCAAAAAAATTTACCAATTTTTATTTTTTTTAAATGCAACACTGACATGACAGCTGTTACAATACAATCTAACAAAATTGTTTCAAATGAAGTTAAAGACAACTGAGCACTACTAGAGCCGTTGTATGGACAAAACTAAACAAAATTTTTGGCTAGCCCAATACTTTAGAAAAACAGTGAGAAGACTGATACTACCCAACTCTAAGACTTACTATAAAACCATAGTAATCAAGACAGTGTGGAATACAAGGAAAACAAAAGAAAAAAATAGGAGCTACAACAAACTAAAGTTTTTGCACAGCAAAGGAAACCATGAACAAAACAAAAAGAAAATTTACTGAATGGGAGAAGATACTTGCCAAAGATACATCTGATAAGTTAATATCCAAAATTTACAAAGAACTCCAACAAAACACACACACAAAAAGCCCCAAACAGTCCAATTTAAAAAATGCGTAGAGACCTGAATACACACTTTTCCAAAAAGGACATACAAATGGCCAACAGACATGTGAAAGATGCTCAATGTCACTGGTCATCAGAGATGCGCAGATTTAAACCAAAATGAGATGTCACTTCACACCTGTCAGAATAGCCATCATCAATAAATCAACAAACAACAAGTGCTGGCGAGGCTGCGGAGAAAAGGGACCCCTCGTGCACTGTTGGTGGGAATGAGGACCGGTGCAGCCACTTGTGGGACGCAAAAGGGAGATACCTCCAAAAATGAAAAATAGGACTGCTTTAATACCAGCTATTCCACTTCTGGATATTTAGGCAAAGAAACCCAAAACAATAATTCAAAAGACTATATGTGCCCTTATGATTCATTGCTGCGCTATTTACAACGGCCAAGATGTGCGAGCAACCCAAGTGCGCATTAACAGATGAGGAGCTAAAAATGTGGTGGTACATACATACAAGGGAATACTACTTTGTCATAGAAAAAAAGAATGAAATCTTACCATTTGTGACAACATGGATGGACCTGCAGGGTATTATGCTAAGTGAAATCAGTCAGAGAAAGACAAATAGCATATGATCTCATTTCTTTGTGGAACCTAAAGAACGGAATAAACAAACCAAAATAAACTGAAGTGGACTCACAGACGCAGAGAACAGACTGGCGCTGCCAGAGGGGAGTGGGGTAAGTAGTGGGTGAAAAAGGGGGAGGGATCGGCAAGTACAAATAGGCAGCCACTAAACAGTCCCAGGGATGTAAAGCACAGCGTGGGGTTTACACCCTATAGCCAAGGGTGTCGTGGTAGCTACATATGGTGCCAGGCGGGTGCTTGGCATAACAGGGGGAGCGCTTTGCAGGGCGTATGATCGTCTGACCACTAAGCTGTGCACCTGAAACTGGTCCAAAACAGTACTGAATATGAAGAGCAATTAAAAAAAAAAAAATCCTAGCCGGTCTTCACTGTGTACATGAAAAGGTCTTCTTTTTAATATATTTTTTCCCTTGTAGTTTATTTTCTTTATTTTCTGACTTCATAAAATGAACACTTAGCTCATTCTTTAAAAGTTTTCTTTTCTAATGTATATATTTAAAGTGCAAATTTTCTCTAAAACTCCACCTTTATCTCTCAAATATTGCTATGTAAAACTCTCACAGTATTCAGTTCCAGGTATTTTAAATTTGCATTAATTAGAGGGTTTTTAAATTTTCAAATATGTGGGGAATTTTAAAAATGTATCTTTTTACACTACCTTCTAATTTCATTATGTTGTAGTCAAAGATCGTTCTTTATAATATTTTTGAAACTTTTTGATGTGTTCTCTATGACTTGTTCATATCA